TTGAAAAGTATGTCAAACTTCAAGGACAAGGTCACACGATCAAAAATCATATTGTGTTGTTTAAGAAAGGTCTTGTCACATGCAATACATAGATTTAATATGAAAGCCATATGTCTTCTCAATATAAGTTATGAGCTAGGTTTAAGTTCTTGAAAAGTAGGTTAAACGCCAAGGTATAGGTCACAAGGTCAAAAAATCAAAGTGTATTTAGAAAGGTCTTGTCACAGGCAATATACAGGTCTAATATTAAAGCCCTTTCTCTTCTCATTCAAAAATTATGGCCAATTTTAAGTCTTATTTCTTTTAAGTATGTAAAACTTCAAGGTGAAGGTGATGGGGCCAAAAATCATAGTTTATTTAGAAAGGTCTTATCACAGGTAATATCTCTTCTCATTCAAAAGTTATGGTCAATTCAAAGTAATGTTATTTTTTTAAAAAGTAGGTCAAACTTCAAAGTCAAGGTCATGGGGTCAAAAATCATAGTGTATTTAGAAAGGTCTTGTGACAGGTACTATACATGTGTAATATGAAAGCCTTATCTCATCTCATTCAAAAGAATGACCAAGGTTCAAGTTTTTATGACGGATGGACAGACTGACAGACGAATGAGATTTAATGTCCCCTTGCTTTCGCGAAAGTGGGGGACAACAATGGATATTCTGCTGCAGAAAGTCAGCACAACTACATGAAGTACTAGAGAGAAAGAAGAACCAATGACTGATTCTCTGCCAGAGAAGCATTTAAAAGGTAAAATATCCCAGGGTGTGTTGTTGGTGAAAGTAATAACAGAATAGAATTTGGAAATATTTCCATAATATTTTTAAAGTTTCTGGTGCAGTGAATGGATTTGGAAAGGAACATTTGAAGGAAGTTCTATGTATATTTCAATGTAAAAGTTTTCTCCCCTTATTTCCATATTATATATTTTTAAAATTCATGGAGAAATGGTCTAGAGAAAAAAATATATTTGAAAGGTTCTTTGTTTTAAATCCTTAGATCCCATTTTGTGACAGTTAGAGGGACGACAGTGGGTGACCAGAAAACCTCTTGTTAGCTAAAACAAAAGGCCCAAAGGTCTTAACAGCCACCTTTGTGTCATGTTACATCGTATAGAATCGAATTAAATAAACAAAGAATTAAACATATTAAAAATATTAAACATAGAATTAAAAGAAATCCCCTAGGCCTCCAAAAAATCTCATAAATGATGCTGATTTTCCCAAATGCAAGAGAAATAGGATGCTCAAAGTAAACTCATCTCATTCCCTCTCACAATGGCCTCTCCGAGTCTTTGAAGAACATTTACTGTATACAATGACAAGGTATTTAATCCAATTTTACCTATGTATTGTTTACAAGGTTTCTATTTGACCACTGAAAACTATTAAATTACTTTTTAGCTCACCTGAGCCGAAGGCTCAAGTGAGCTTTTCTGATCACATTTTGTCCGTCGTCCGTCTAGATCTGTCCGTCCGTAAACTTTTCACATTTTCAACTTCTTCTCAAGAACCAATGGACCAATTTTAACCAAACTTGGTACAAAGCATCTTTGGGTGAGGAGGAGTTTAAATTGTTAAAATAAAGGGCCAAGTCCCCTTAAAATGGGAGATAATCAAGAAAAGACAAAAATAGGGTGGGTTCATTAAAAAATCTTCTTCTCAAGAACCACTGGGCCAGGAGAGCTGAAACTTATACATATGGAAGCATCCTTGGGTAGTGTAGATATTAAATTGTTAAAATCATGACTTTCGGGGGTAGGGCGGGGCCACAATAGGGAATCCAAGTTTTACATAGAAATATATAGAACAAATCTTTAAAAATCTTCTTCTCATGAACCACTGGGCCTAAAAAGCTGAAACTTATATGGAAGCATCCTTGGGTAGTGTAGATAATAAATTGTTAAAATCATGACCCTGGGGGTATGGCGGGGCCACAATAGGGAATCCAAGTTTTACATAGAAATATATAGAACAAATCTTTAAAAATCTTCTTCTCAAGAACCACTGGGCCAGGAAAGCTGAAACTTATGTGGAAGCATCCTTTGGTAGAGTAGATATTAAATTGTTAAAATCATGACTTTAAGGGTAGGGCGGGGCCACAATAGGGAATCCAAGTTTTACATAGAAATATATAGAACAAATCTTTAAAAATCTTCTTCTCAAGAACCACTGGGCCAGGAAAGCTGAAACTTATATGGAAGCATCCTTGGGTAGTGTAGATATTAAATTGTTAAAATCATGACCCTGGGGGTAGGTACATAGAAATGAATAGAACACATCTTTAAAAATCTTCTTCTCAAGAACCACTGGGCCAGGAAAACTGAAACTTATGTGGAAGCATCCTTTGGGGCCACAATAGGCCAGTAAAGCTGAAACTTATGTGGAAGCATCCTGCATGTGGTAGTGTAGATTCTGAAGTGTTAAAATCATGAAAAGGAAGGGGGTAGGGGCACGATAGGTATAGCAAAAGGGGAAATCGGGTAGAGAACTGCATCACCCAAGTTACTCAGGTGAGCGATGTGGACCATGGGCCTCTTGTTGTTCTTAATATTGTAAAAGTTCATACACAATTCTTTTATTCAACTGACCTTTCAAGTATATTATTTGCAGTGATTTATAGAATAAAATAATTTGAATAAAATAACCTTGATCGGTCTCGTGCTTGGTGTTAATTTATTCATTTGGCATTGATTTCTTATGCAATCTCTTGCTTAATCAGTATTTAATTGTATGTGAAACATAAAAAAACACATCTAAAATGTGAATTATCTCTTTTGAAATGTCTTTGTACTATTTGTCCACCACAAAAAGTTTCGCCAACATTATTAACATACATCTGAGCAAGAAAAAAATCACATATTTTGCACCTGCTAATTACAAACGGTATCATAGGTTAATAGCAAAAGGGAAATTATATCTTTAAGAACAATATAGGGGCCTAAATAATTAAATAGACCAAGTGGACAGATTTCATAATGTATAAAAAATAACTTCATTATAACAACTTTATATACTCTTTGCCTTCTACATGTAGCTGCCCAGAAAAGGGTATCAACAGAGTGCAATTGAGCTTTCAGCCCAAGTAAGCTAACAGTTAAAAGAATTTTGAAAATGAGAAAAGTTTACAAATGGATAGACAGAAAGGAAGATGGACAGATGGAGGGACAGACAGATGAACGGATGACAGACAAGGGTGAAAAAGTGCAATAGAGCTTCCAACTCAGGTTAGCTAACAGTCTCATACAAAACAAGCAAATTCAAAGAATTGTGGTCCCACACTTTCAGTGTCTTTGTGGGTGAGTTGTCATTATTTATGGCATATTGGATCAAATATGAATGCCATATCATATGTCAATTATCACCAAAGATGAATTTTTAAAATTAGGTCAATCATGAAGGCCAAGGGGTAAGAAATCATAGCACGCTCAGAAATATTTTGTCACAGGTAATGCACATGTCAAATATGAAAGCCCTACCTCTTTTCAATCAAAAGTTATAAGGAAAAATTGACATTTTCAATAAGGAGGACAAACTTCAAGGTCACAAGATCAAAAATCACAGTGTATTTAGAAAGGTCTTGTCACAAAAATTACACAGCTTTATTATGAAAGCCCTTATCTCTTCTCATTCAAAAACTATAGCTAAATCAAATTAATGCTTATTTTCTTCAAAAATAGGTCAAACTTCAAGGTCAAGGTTACGGGGTCAAAAATCATAATGTATTGTCATAGGTTTTATATGAATGTCCTATCTCTTCTCATTTAAAAGTCATGACCACCTTTTTATTTTTTGAGAAGTAGGTCAGACTTCAAGGTCATGAGATAAAAATTCATTGTGCATTTAGAAAGGTCTTGTCACAGGTTGTATACGGGTTTAACATGAAAGCGTAGCGCTTCTCATTCAAAAGATATGACCAAGATTAAAGCTTTTGTGATAGACAGACAGACTTACAGATTGACAGATGAGATTTAATGTCCCTTTGCTTTTGCAAAAGTGGGGGACAGAAATTGGTTAAAACTGGCCCAGTGGTTCTTGAGAAGAAGTCAAAAATATGAAGAAATTACAGACAGACGGACAGACAGAGAAACGGATGGATGATGCACAAAATGTGATCAGAAAAGCTTACTTGAGCCTTCGGCTCAGGTGAGCTAAAAATAAATCCCACCATACAGCATGCCTCTGCAAAAAATGTGCTAAAATTTCAATCATCTGCAATGAGTAGTTGCATAGAAAACTGCGACAAAAATTTTTTATGAAGCACAGATAAACAGGAAGATGACATCGGATTTGAATAAAAATAAAATCTCACAATATGACATGCCTCAGCTAAGAATGTGCTTAAATTACAAGCATTTGCAATGAGTAACTGCTGAGGTAACTGCAACAAAAATTTGTTTCGTATGTGATGAATGAAAGCAGGCACAAAACCGGAGTTGACATTGGATTTGAACAAAAATGAAACCTCACCACACGGCATGCCTCAGGAAGAAATGTGCTAAAATTACAAGCATCTCTGATGAGTAGTTGCCAAGGAAACTGTGATGGAAGTTAGTTATGTTCATGTATGTTACGGACAGATGTACAGATAAACACGAAGTTGACATCAGATTTGTACAAAAATGAATCCCACCATATGACATGCCTCAGCAAAGAATGTGCTAAAATTTCAAGCATCTGGGATGGGTAGTAACTGAGAAAACTGCAACCAAAAATTTGTTACTGACAGACACACAAGGGTAAAACAGTATACCCCCCTCTCCTTTGGAGCAGGGATATAAAAAGCACAGTATATTTAGAAAGGTCTTGCCACAAGTAATGCACATGTATAATACATGTTTGAAAGTATCTCTTCCCATTCAAAAGAATGGTTCATGTTTTTTGTGAAAGAAGACTTACAGCTAGGCAGACGACAGAGAGGTAATGACACTTTTGCAAAAGCAGGGGACAAAAATCATCACAACAGTGTCTGAATAAACAGTAAAGAGACTTGTAATGAAATTTTAATTGTGCCTCCTCAAAAAAAAAAAAATAAAATAAATAAATAAATTACTTTCCAAACAATTGCACATCCAATTTGAAAGACAAATAATGTAGTTGAAAATTTTTTAGATCCATTTATGTCAAATGAAATAAACATTTTACATAGAAGAGAAAATCAAAGTTGAAAAGATGGCAAGACTCCATCCTCTGACAGTAAAGGTTTATGTAAACTCGGACTCTTTAGGCATAATGTCTTCTTTGAGAGACTGAAGTTCCTCTAATAACTGGACAAGATGGCTCCAGCGAGTCTTCACTGTAGATGATTTCAGGGACTCTTTGTTTTCTAGGCTTTTTCTATAGAGTGTCTTTGTCTTCAAAACATTGCTTGGTTTACTGAAAAAAAGAGCAATGTTCAAAGAGGGATTCTTCTCATATCTATTACATTTGAAAATTTATGATTTTTTTTTACAGATTCAAGATGACAAAATCAGCAAGTTGTGGTAGCAATGTGATTAAAATTTATTTTAATGACATATGTAAAGTGAAACTTCTCTTATCAAACATGCTTGTTTTGTATAGATTTAAATAATATATTTATTCAGAGAATTGACTATATTGGGCAACAGGCAAACTGCATATAGATACCCTCTCTATTTTGTATAGATGATCTAGGTTCTATGTCTCAAAACCCCACATACCCAAAATGACTGTCTATAAAACAATCAAGACCAGACAAAAATCATGTCTATAGATGGATAGATGGTATAAGACAGACAGACGGACATTATTCCAATATACAACAGTACTGTTTGTGGGGGTATTATGAAGGATATGATACTCAGTGTTTGTAAATATTAGTACATGTACACCACGAGTTAATTGTGTTTTAATTTGTTTGGGTTGTCATTTTATCATTTACACTTTACCATTTTTTTAAAAATTATTCGTTAAATATACCAGCAAAAATATTAAAAATCCTTTTTTTTTAAAAAAAATTTCACATCAAGTATTAATTGTGAGAAATTATCTGATTAGTCCATCAGTTGACAAACATTGTTTAATATAAATGTGATAATAATAAAAAAAATCATATTCTTGCACAAATTAATATTTCATTACTCTGATTAGTCCATCAGATATGACATCAGTTGACAAACATTGTTTTTATAAATGTGATAATAAAGAAAAATCATATCCTTGCACAAATTAATATTTTTTCATTATCACAATCAGCATTGAAACTAATGGTATATCTAATCATAGAATTAAAGAATATTCAAATATATATATATTAATTTTTTTTACATTAAAACTAAAACACTGGATATAAATTAAATTTCAATATTTTTCTAATAAATAGTAAATAAATTATATTATTATACCTCTACTGTAATTATACTCTATATAAAATTATTACCATAAAACTATCTATTTCTCCGAGAAGAGACTATTTCGCCCATCTGAGGGCTACTCCCTGAAAAATCAGAGCTACTCCCTGGGACTACTCCCTCATGAATAGAGTTGTATTTATTAGTAATTTTAACCAATCAAAGTGTTCAGTGGGCGGAGCATTCAAGGAATCTCGAGTCTGTGACGTCATGTTATTATCAATGTAACTATGACGTCAAAACATTTCGACATTCAATGTCAAAATCATACTTGATTTCTAGCAAAATGAAGATAACAATAATTCTTCGAAATGTCAGTGAAAATACTTTTTAAAATTTAAAAATAATTAATTGTTATAGGACAAGATGCATTACTTATCATACAATGTGTTAAAACACATGCATTTGTAATTATGCCTCTACAGTGTTTTTTTAATGTCAGAATATCTGGTAAAAAAAATTAAATCGCCTATGATTGTTTCTGTACAATAAAACAGTTATGGAATGGGTACGAGGGAAATAGCAAATTTATCGTTCCCCTCAGCAGGTAACAACTTCCAGCTTGTCATTGTGCAACGGCTCAGCATTTTATTTGGAAATAGTTTTCCTGGCCCTCGGGGAACCATAAATTTGCTATTTCCCTCGTACCCATTCCATAACTGTACAATACAAATCCTTGGAGCCAATTATGCTCACTAGTAATACCCCTACTCTCATGTGAATATACACTAGTTCAAGTGAGACAGAAATGTCATATACATAGAGACCCAGGGATAAACAGGAAGTTGTCATCAGATTAGTATAAAAATAGGTAATCAGAGATTACAGAGCTCACCTCAATGAATGTTGCATTCAAGTAAGGCAAAGTCACACAATTAACCAACAAGTGTTCATCCCTTGAAGCACAATTTGTACAAGTTTGATTAATATAGACCTTATATTTTCTTGGTGATAGACCTGCATCCATAACTTTTACCTGGTCCATTATCTGGAAAATGTATGTCAGATCCAGCATCCGAAGCAAGTCCATTAGTGTGCAGCCTTAGATGTATCATCAACTTAAACCTGTTCACTCATCAATAAAATGTAGGTCAGATTCAGCATCCTAAGATAGTTCATTAGCGAGCGTCCTTAGACGTTTCATCCATGCAAGTTTGCTCAACATAGAGCTCATAGTTACTTGGAAATGAAACATGCGTAAAACTAACCTTTTCACTCGTCCAGAAAATGTAGGTCAGATTCAGCATCTGAAAGAAGCCTAGTAGTATGCATCTGTTGATGTATCATCCATGCAAGTTTGGTCAACATAGGGCTCATATTTACTTGGAAATGAAACCTGCACAAAAAACTTTAAACTATTCACTCATCTGGAAAATGAGGGTCAGATTCAGCATCTGAAGCAAGCCTAGTAGTATGCATCTGTAGTTGTATCATCCATGCAAGTTTGGTCAACATAGGGATCATATTTACTTGGAAATGAAATCTGCACAAAAAACTTTAAACTATTCACTCATCTGGAAAATGTAGGTCAGATTCAGCATCTGAAGCAAACTTGGTTGTATGCATCCTTCGATGTATCATCCATGCAAGTTTGGTCAACATAGGGCTTCTAGTTACTTGGAAATGAGACCTGTACCAAAAACTTGAACCTATTCACTCATCTGGAAAATGTAGGTCCGATTCAGTTTCCAAAGCAAGCCTGGTTGTATGCATCTGTAGATGTATCATCCATGCAAGTTTGGTCATTATAGGGCTCACACTTGGAAATGAGACCTACACTAAAAACATTAACCTGTTCACTCATCCAGAAAATGTAGGTCAGATTCAGCATCCAAAGCAAGCCTGGTAGTGTACATCCTTTGATGTATTATCCATGCATGTTTGGTCAACATAGGGCTTATGCATGTAGTTACTTTTAAATGAGACCTACACTAAAAACTGCACCAAAAATGTTAGCCTGCTCCAGAAACATTCACCTGGACATTCTTTAGCTGAAATTGCAGCTGAAACCTTATCTGGTACAATGAAATACACTAGAAGCATCTTCCATCTGTGTCTAATCAATATAGGGCATAGAAGTACTTAAAAAGAAAACTGCTCCAGAAAACTTAACCTGGAATGCCAATGCCAAGAGTATCACATAAGCTCCCCCAACTTCGTTGAGGTGAGCTAAAAATGAATTCAACCTATAACATTGTGTTCAAATTTCAAGCATCTGCATGAGAAGCTGCTGAGAAAACTTTGAAGAAATCTTGTTACAGACAGACACACATGGGTAAAACAGTTTGCATCCTTCTCCTTTGGAGAGATATAAAAAGATGTGATTGTGACATACTGATGCCTCCAAATGGCAGCTCATGGCAAAGATTAAAGTTTTCAAAAGCAAGTCAAACTCAAATTTCAAGAGACTAAAAATATGTTGTTATCCAAAGAAAGGTCCTGTCTCAAGAAATAGTGAAATATGAATGCCCTAGCACCAACCATGACATTTTTTTTGATGGAATGCTTCAAACAATAACTAGAAATTGACAAATGGACAAATACCCCCATCGTAGGTTTTAAGAAAAGGTATTTAAAGTATTTTATGAATCTTGAAGTGTTGGAAATCCATTATCTATCATGCACGTACTGTAAGTCAAAAGTTAGCTTTGACTAAAATTTATTACATGTCTAAGTTAGCCAGTACATCCTACAAAATTGTAATAAAACATTAAAATAAATATCTTTATTTATTCACGGCGTCAAGCTGTATAAGGATTGATATTTGCAAGATCCGAAACTAATAGATCATACCTCGAGAGCTAGATTTTGTGCAATCTGATTTACATTGGAATTCTTTACCTGCATTTTATAAGAAACAGTTTTCAGAAAAAAGAATGATATTTACTATAAATGCAAAATACTGTAGTGTTTACTTCATTTAATCTTTTTGCATGGAACAATTATTCACATGTCCGTGTATCTTTTTTCTGCATTTCTATACTACTGGATCAGTCCATTTATATTCTACGAAAGGGGTTAATCGCTCTTTTTGCGCCAAATGTCACAGTAAGCTTCCTTAGATTTTTCTATTGTGTGAATGAGTGTGCTAACGTACGTCTATGGAATAAAATAAAGTTTGTCCTTTTAACCTCCTTCTAACACTTCAGAAATTCTATGTATAAATTTTATCTCATTCTTTTAAGTAACATATCGTACATATCAGTATATGGACATGCAACACTAGAGAAATGATTTTTTTCTAATTTGTTTCCTGATCCCGCAGTTTGTTTACTACATAAATGGACTCGTCCAATAATGAACAACGCATGCAGTTCAACAAGTCATGGAACATTTGTATCCCCATTTCAGATGCACACAATAGATAAGAAACCAGTACAAAATCTTATATTTTTCTTTCCACAAAGGCCTAAATATTGAATTTTCTTATTTCATTTTCAATATATGATAGTGACAATACCCCCCCCTCCTTTTTAAGAAAAAAAAAATTATTAACACATATTACAACTGTTTACTTCAGTGGAATAAATACACTCCGACAAAATGTGTACTTTAAATTATGTCCATCCTTTAAAATGTTTACAATGCATGATTTCATAACAAATATTATAGATATTATATAACAGGTGTAATGTACCTTTCAATTTAGATCTAAGGGCAGATCACTCCACTTGCAGACCCCCCCCCCCCCCCAACAGAATAACAATTCTTAACAGGTTTCATGTAGCTTTCAATTTAGATCCAAAGGCAGATCACTCCACTTGCACCCCCTCCCCCCACCAACAGAATAACAACTCTTTAGTATGCAGTGTAAAAATGATTCTTCTGTAAGTTAAATAAAATCAAGGATTTCATTTACACAAGTTTTTCAAAATGTAAAGTAAGGACATATTTTAAACCCAAAAAAGTATTGCTCAAAAGGTTTATCACTCCTCATGCAGATATTGATTGATTTAGTCAGGCAAGCTTTTTAAAAAGCTGTTACTTTTCTTGTTTAAACATGCAATCCAACCATCTGTCATATTTGTGAGTCGATCATGCCCTGTATTTTGTTATAATTTTAAAAGTATAAATGAAAAAATAATATCACTTGTCATTTGGGAATTTTCCAAGAAGCACTGACTTCTACACTTGACAGATTACTCTGACATTTAAATCTGCACCTCATTTCCAGAATTTTTCAAACTTTCAATTTTTTTAATTTCCAACATTTTATAGTTTTCATTTCCAACATTTTAAAGTTTTTATCTCCAAAATTTTTCAGGTATTATTATTTGGCAATGAAAGCGGGATTTTAATTTTCATTTTGAAAATGTGGCTTGAAATAAATTCTTTCAAAATTCTATTTTCACCAATGGGGAACTTGGTTAACATTAAATTGCCACAGAGCAACCTGTTAAAAATCCGGAAATGAATTAAACTAAATGTCTAAACTTTCGGGAAATGAAATGCAGTACGTGTTATGTACCCACGTGTGGAATTGATAATAGATAAGAAAACTTTAATAGTATTTACAGTTGTGGTACTAAGGGCACTAACGTTATTTACCAACACAAGAGATAATTGGAGTTGGACTAAAATGACTTACTGGTACTTCACATGGGAAAATATTCAACAATACATGGTCTTTATTTAAAATAACATTCAAATATCAGCTTGTAAAATGCAGACATGGACAAAAAATAACCTCCAAAATTTTTTCCTGAATATTGTGATGCAGACCAGTTTGGACTGTAATTAAGTTTGTTGGCAGACATGGACAAAAAATAACCTCCAAAATTTTTTCCTGAATATTGTGATGTTTTTATATCAGTCTTTTGAGTCAAGATTACCAGTTTGGACTGTAATTACCTTAGTTTGTTGGCAGACATGGACAAAAAATAACCTCCAAAAATTTTTCCTGAATATTGTGATGTTTTTATATCAGTCTTTTGAGTCAAGATTACCAGTTTGGACTGTAATTACCTTAGTTTGTTGGTTTTGTAGCATTTGATGAGATGCAGCAGTATAAACTGTAGTCTGGACTCCAATATGTCTGTCAGGCTTGTCCCCTCAGACTGGACCTTATCACATACATCAGGGTCATCCAGCTGTTTGATCATGTGTCCCAGTACCCCTCGACATTCCAACAAGCACCTGACGGCTGACATTAATGTCTTCAGCTGTATTTTTGTATTAGTCAGACCTAGAGGAGCAAAAATATTGCAAAAGAGCTACGTTCATTATTTCCATAAAATGTCCCTGCCCAAATGTAAACCAATTAACTTGAACCAAGTTGCAATGTCCATTTTAAACATCAATGAAGGATATGGCGATAACAAACGTATTCAATATCAAAGTCCATAAAACAATACAAAATAGAAGTAGAGCAAACATGGACCTCCAAAACACCAGAGGTGGGATCAGGTGCCATGGAGGAGTGAGCATCCCCTGATGGCCAGTCACACCCACTGTGTGCTCCTTGTCATGATCAGGAAATAACGGAAAAAACCGTCATCAATTCAGTTTATAAATGATATAAATGACTAACAAATAGTATGAAAAACGTCAGTCAGCATTTGAACTCAATGATAAATTGTATTTGCTGGCAAGGTCATTGTAAAATACAGAAGGGGAGCTTTCATGTCCTATAAAAAATTTCCAGGCTTTGCAAAAGCGAGAAACATATAAAAATTATTGTGTTTTTGATACTCAGCATATATTCTCTGTATTATCACTTAATTTTTCTTACTAAGTTTTCATGTGATGTCACAGTTGCTTTTCTTCATATAAGCAAATAGAATTTTAATGTAATTGCCCTTTCTGCACTAACAGATCAAATATGAAGTCTCTGACTTGTTAGACATGCAGCAAAAGAAAAAGGGATGGATCATTCTATTTATGAAAAAAAGAATTTTTATCATCATTTTATAGAAAATTCATTAATTAAAAAAAAATACCTCCCTCATCTACTTCGTTGCCAATAAAATGATAAAATAGAGCCTCCCACCAGCATCTGTTTCAGAGAAAATTTGTCAGAGAACCAGAGAATTAAATTTATGTAGCCTTAGTTGTACAGCCCTTGCAGATGATGTTTTGCATCTGTTTTACTTGTATATCTAAACTCACCTTGCAATATGTACTCCCACAAAGCCACCTGCTCTAACAAAACTCGGAGAAGCTCTGTGTGACATTCTAACAAGGAGAAGAAACTCTCAGCTTTCCTGTAATGTGTCTCTGTCAGATGTCGAAGGTACTTCTTCCTCTGTTCAGAATTCTACACACAAAAAAAAATCAAACTACGAGTTAATTAAAAACAATTGGTTCAAATGGGACAACATACATTTTAGTATGGATTGAGCCAGTAAGGCCATTCCAAGTTTTTTATCTGTTTAGCGTCCACTCATCTTTCAAAAACCTACCTACCTATTCGCAAAAAACACACAAGCCAAAACATAAAACACAAGCTTAAAAGTCATAAAAATGATTCCTTCAAATGATTTGATCTAACTAAACTGCTTTAATAGAAGAAATATCTATTCTTAAGCAAAAACAATGGATTAAATGCTTACAATACACCCAATATAACTTACTGTACAGAATTATTTGGAGAAATTTACAAAATTCAAAAATTTCAAGTAAATTTATCAATTTCAGGACTCCTGTTGTTGTGTTTTTTCTCATATGGGGTGTCAAAAACCAAGGCGCACGCGGACGCTAAACATAGAAAAAACTTGGAATGGCCTTATACTATTTGGTACTAAGTATAAAACATGTTTCCAATTCCTTTAATGAAGATGAGTTATGGTACGTGGCACATTTAAGTTACTAATATTGACACCCACAAGTATAATAAGACTATTAATATCAAAAGATAACAATGCCTTTCCCTGATTCTTATTTATATAAAGATGCAAATGATTCAACTTTCAATACAGTTGAATATTGCTAATATTTTTGGGCGATCAAATGTAATCATGGTTTAAACATAAATACATAGAATTCAATGAACACAACTTTGATGAGGAAGTAAATATTTGTGGGGTTGTAAATACATTGAAAAAATGAAATCCATTGACAATGGCTACCCATGAATATCAATAATAATATATTAATAATAATATTAAGGTTATTCTAATTAAGTGTATTCCATTTTGACTAGTTCAAACTTTCATTATGGTTCCAACCTACCTGGGGGGATGCATATTTTGAACATATCTGAATCTACACGACCTGAGGATGGTTCCATATAAATACTGTATACAGGGAAATTTTTGTCCCCATTTCATTTTCGCCCCTTTCACCCTACTCTCATTTGGGTGAATCTAATATGGGGCGAATTCAAAAAATATAGTATGGACAAATTTTGATCAGAGAAGCTCACTTGAGCGTTTGGCTTCAGTGAAATGTCCATAGGACATGAATTGCCAAACCAACTGGATATTGGCAAGATCTTCAGCAGGTTAAATGCTGTGTTCCACAGGGGGCCCAGAGGGAGGGGCAAGCCCCCAAAAGCACCTGAGAATCACCCAAAACAAACTTTCATTTTCACAAACATGACTATGTCCCCATATAGCTCTCTCAGAATGGGAGAAGATTGTACATTTTGGCATGCGGTTTGAGACGATGCCTTCACTCCCACCCCACCCAAATGACCACCAGGAACAGATGAACTAAGAATTACATACACTAAAGTCAGAAAGTTGACTTGTGAATTTACTCAAATAACTCAAAAGGTAATCAAGTGTTCATCATATTAGCTTTATTTGTATAAGTGTACCTGCTGGTTTCGTAGAGAGTTGTGATACAGAGAAGCTAGACGATGGTGGATGTTTGCGGCTCGGTACTGACACATAGGCTGCTTGGCTGACTTAATGTCCACATTACAGTACTTTAGAGATTTCATCATCAAATCTACAACCTCCTTCTCAACCTGAAATATGGATGGATAAATATATTAATTTCTCCATGCTCAAAATGCCAATAAACCAAAACATCTAAATTGTGACTGGAATACTCACAAAACTGGAACTCTATATCTTAGACTAGAAAAATTCTTAGAAAAATTATTTTCATGCACAATATTTATATGATTTCCTTGATACCCCCCCCCCCACCTTTACATAAAATTAATTTAGGCTATGTACTTGCTTATAAAATTTTCTGCAAAAATTGACATCACAGCTAGCTTAAATACTTCATGTACTTTTAAGACATGTAGCAATTCAAGACATTAACTTCATCATATTTTACATACAAGAGGCCCAGGGGCCACAGTGCTCACCTGAGAACATCGGCTAGGAAAAAGCACATGTCAGATCAGAACTGAAAGTTTACTGAGGTGGGGGGGAGGGGGCTTGAATTTTAACCCCCCAGGGGGTCATGATTTGAACAAACTAGAATCTAAATTACCTGAGGATGATATGATTCCATACAAATATAACTAATCCTGGCTTTGAAGTACTTGAAAAGAAGATTTTAAAAGGTTTCCCTATATATTCCTATATAAAACTTTGGTCGGCCATTTTGGTCCCACCCTATCCCCGGGGGTCATGATTTGAACAAACTTGAATCTACACTACCTGAGGATGATTCCACTTGAGTTTTATCTTCTCTGTTTCAATGGTTCTCGAGAAGAAGATTTTTAAAGATTTCTCCTATATATTCCTATGTAAAACTTTGATCGGTTGGCCCCACCCTATCCCCGGGGGTCATGGTTTGAACAAACTTGAATCTACACTACCTGAGGATGCCTCCACATGAGCTTCATTTTTCCTGGCCCAGCAGTTCTTGAGAAGAAGATTTTTAAAGATTTTTTCTTAATACTCCTATGTAAAACTTTGATCAGCCATTTTGGCCCCACCCTAGCCCCGGGGGTCATGATTTGAAGAAATTCGAATCTACACTACCTGAGGATGATTCCAAATGAGTTTCATCTTTCCTGGCCCAGTGGTTCTTGAGAAGATGATTTTTAAAGATTTTTCCTATATACTCCTATGTAAAACTTTGATCGGCCATTTTGACCCCACCCTATCCCTGGGGGTCATGATTTAAACAAACTTGAATCTACACTTCCTGAGAATGATTCCACACCTGGCGCAGTGGTTTTTGAGAAGAAGATTTTTAAAGATTTTTCCTATATATTCCTATTTAAAACTTTGGTCGGCCATTTTGGCCCAACCCTATCCCCAGGGGTCATGATTTAAACAAAATTGAATCTACACTACCTGAGGATGCTTCCACATGAGTTTCATTTCTCTTGGCCCAGTGGTTCTTGAGAAGAAGATTTTTTAAAAATGCCATTAATATTTCACTAATTCATAATTATCTCCCCTTGGAAACAGGCGTGGCCCTTCATTTTAAGAAACTTGAATCCCCTTCACCTAAGGATACTTTGTGGCAAGTTTGGTTGAAGTTGGCCCAGTGGTTCTTGAGAAGAAGATGAAAATGTGAAAAGTTTACGCCGACGACGACAGACGACGGACAAATTTTGATCAGAAAAGCTCACTTGAGCCTTCAGCTCAGGTGAGCTAACAAGATCAAACAGGATTTAAGATTCTATAGAATTGTACCCATTGGAAAAATTATATTTACAGTATCTAAATCAAATAAACACAGATAGATGATTGCCATAGAAATGAGATTTAAAAGCTCATTGAGCTTCTTGGTCGAGGTAAGCCAAAAACACTTTTATCCTCTGAATGATTTAACCACCCCTCAAATACGTACAAAGCAATAGTCAACTCTACTTGATGTTAGATATTCTTAAAACAATAACTGTGAATTTGTGTGCATATGGTTCACAAAAATACATTATTATATAACATTATCTAAAATTTTCTCCCCTTAAAATTAATTGTCAACAGGAGAATGGCAGATATAGGCAGAAATACGATTTATTGCACAGTTATAATCCTTAACATTGACTTTGAAGCATGCATGTTTGAAATGCTGAAGTCACATATTTAATTGTGTCAATCATGATATATCACAGTTTACAATAACAAATACTTTATTAAATACCAGTTTATAATATCATTTACCAACTTACATCAAAACAGATCATCTAAAATCAATCCCTTTTTTTATACATCCTTGTTATATAACGACTGTTTATTACACCTGTACAAACAGAAATAGAGCAAAGTCATTATCTTGTTTTCTTTACATCAAATGTTAAAAGTTCACCTCATCTTGAGTATACTCCTGTAATGGCACGTAATCCTGAAGGAGAATAGCCATGTTGAAGAAACAGGTTGACATTTCCCAGCAGACAGACTCCCAAATCTCGGTATAATGACCTCCATGTAGACATTCCAGGGCTTTGGTGTAGCAGTCAACTGCCTGAAATTCATCAACATTGCTCAGTTTTATAGAATTTCAGTAGAAATATAAACAAGAGGCTCATGAGCTACAATGTTCACCCGAGTAACTATGTACATTCTGCAAAGGGAGACCAACATTAATAAAATTCTTCTCTTCAAATATTGGCCTTGCATTTCGGACTCACACTGGGTATAAAGAGTCATATGACTTGTAAACTTGCATCAAAACAACATGAAAATCAAAACTGATTTTTGGTGGATCAATTTAACTAATATACGGCTTGGATATTCTGGAAAAATATTTCCTTAATAGAATTTAATACATTGGCAAACCAGAGGTCTCTGTCGAGATTGCAGCTCTATTGCTTTGTACTTATATCAAAGAAGGGAAAGGTAGTCTACTTACATGCTGCATTATATTAAAATCAGACCAAAACTGTAGCAGGAGTAGCATTTTAAATGTATTTCATAGAAATTTCTGTTTTTAGTAACTACGACAACACTGTTTATTGAAATCATAAATCAATAATCAGAAATATGCATCTCAGAGTAGTCTACTTGTATTCTAAGTTATACTGAAATATGCAGACAAAAACTGTAGGAGGAGTAGCATTTTAAATGTATTTCACAAAAATTTATATTTTTAGTAACCAAGGCAACACCATCCATCGAAATCAAAACTGATAAACAGAATTATATATCTTTGTGTAGTCTACTTGTGAGCCATTAGTTATATTAAAATCAGACTAAAACTGTAGAAGGAGTAGCGTTTTGAAATAATGTTTACTCATTTGAGCCTTAGGCTTCAAATCTAATTCATTACCTTGGCTCAGCTTAGCTAAAAACATATAACGATTCACTGCATGTGCTCATTGACATATGGGATTGAGGTCAAAAACAATCTGATCTATAATAGTTTGTCCCAGTTAATTACTCCCATTTTAGTTTTTACTGTGATAACAATTAAGCTTTTAATTGTCTAGAATGAAAATACCATCTGCGACCTCTTTATTCCAAAATATGTGCACCACCATTATATATTGACGAAAAACAGAAAAATCATGAATAAAATGATCTACTTCTATTTATGAAATGCCAGGACCATAACCATTAAATCCCCAATACTTTGAATTTGCTACCCTTCAAAAAAAATATACTAGATGATTTCAAAGTGTTGATTAACTGCATCTAAGAAGGAAAGCCCTATTTCTTCACACAATTAGTGATTCCTCTACCAAGCTGTAAATGAAATTATATAATCCAAATATTTTATTAAAAGCAATATAGAGATCAACCTGCATATTTACTGAAATGTGAAAGAAATGCAAAATCCTATTTTAGACAAAAAATGATATACTGGTACAATTTTGTACTTTAACTAACATTAACCATCATTTTATAGCTTAATGATTTCATCCTAAGAAACATAGTCACCCTAGAAACATATAAAAATTCCTAAACACAAAAGCACCATCTTTTGTGATGTAGAATTGTCCCTAAGACCCAGGGATCAAGAAAATTCCCCTTCTATTCTGATGTACTCCCCCATTATTTTAATATTCCTTCTAAACTCCCAATTATGGGAGGAACACCACATCCACTTGTACTTTTTAAATGCCCCCCCCCCTTCTTTTTCAATTCTTAGGGACAGCCCTGTGTTTGAGGTATTACATCACAACTGTGATATGTATAGCTTTGTCATCAACATTGCACATTTGCTTCTTGCCAGTTAATAATCATCTCAAAACAAGATGTGTTTGTGAAACACTGATGCCCCTGTATGGCAACATAGCAAAGGTAAAACTTTCTCAAATGCAAATCAAATTTGTTAGTACCCAAAGTAAGGCCTTCTCACAAGAAATACATGTACAATCAATCAATCATGAAATATGAGAGCCCCAGCACCACCTGTTCAAAAGTTATGGCCAAGGTTAAGTTTTTTTTTAAAGTATATAAATTTCCAAGGTGAAGATCACAAGGTAAAAGAGTTGGTATCTTCAGACAAAAGATGTCTGCTTTGTAAGCACAGCTTGGCACAGACAGCTTTAACAGCCCAATCACAGGCTGCAGCTACGGAATACTAGGCAATTTGTCTTGTCATACAGACAACTGCCTTTATCTCATTAGATATGTCTACTGTAAATTTGATAGACTGATGAAAGGTGTTGGCAAACGTAATGAATGCCTCGATGCTCTCGCGACATTCCACCCACTTCATCTCTATATCGTCAATGAAACGCAACCAGCAAAGGGGCATAATGGTGCTTGAAGTAACAAGTTACGTTCAAGTCTGCCCATGAAAACATTGGAATAAGACGGTGCCATTTTCATACCCATAGCAGTCCCATTAACATGCAGGTAATGTTCTCTATTAAACATGAAGTTGTTACACTTAAAAATACCATATAATGAAATATGAAAGCCATAACTCCACTTAATCAAAAGTTATGGGCAAGGTTAAAGTTTTTGTGGACAGACAGACAGCTAGACAGACGGACGGACACGATAAAAACTACATACCACCTGAATCTTCGATTACATGGACATAAAAATATCTTTGGTAATGTATATAGACACATAGATAATTGGGAACTTTTTGAACACCCTTTGTAGTAAATATGCATAAATCTATAATGGTGATGCACACAGATAGATTTAATTCTAGGATAAAGTTATTCCTTCCAAACCTGTTTAAAATATCTACGTTCCACATCACTGAACTGTGGATTTTCCAGTCTCATTGTGTTCTGAGTGTGAGCCTGGGCGTACAGTCTCATCAGCCGTCCCTTGTTTGTGTACAGAAGGGCTGCGTTAGGTTTATCAGACAAACTCGCAAATACAGTCACACCCTCCTCCAATGCTGACAATGATTTTTGGCAAAGACTTTCCATTCTAGCACTAGGAAATGGAGGATCTGTTGAGAGAATGATTCAGTTAAAGGTATTTATAGCAATTAGTGACAGACAGGTGGGTAACAGGCATATTATCTCATAAACTCTTCAGTAGAAATAAAACCAACAAAATTATGTATACAAGTGTGTTACAAATTACATTCAATCAAAATTAATTGTAGATTTAGTGTTTTGAAAGTATTTCAAAGAAATTTCCATTTTTATTAACCATGGCAACACAGTTCTTTGAAATCTAAACCCAATGCATAGAATATACAATTATGGACTGTTTAGAAGGGAGACATCACCAGTTATCAGGTCTGAGTAGGGTTGTCACCCGAGGGCGCTTGCGCCCGAGGGTGACAACCCTACTCAGACCTGATAACTGGTGATGTCTCCCGTCTAAACAGTCCATAATAGTTTTATTATCCTGAAGAAACTAATTATCAATTAGAAAGAGTAGAAAATAGTAATCAAACCTTCATTTTGTGTCTCCGTCTCTGCTCTGATTCCATACTTTTAAAATATGTCAACAGACAACTCGATCTGACGTCATCGTTAGAATTTATTGTTTACCGATCCCGCATATTAGTAATACTATATTACATACGTATAATCATAAATAAGAGTTATCTCGCTTAAACCACTGTAATTTCATTCAAAGGGCGACAACGCAGTTGTAACCCTGCTTACTCATTTACGCTATTTCATTGTCATCTGGAGGGTGACAACAGTTGTCACCCTGCGCGTGAGGGAGACATCACGAATTGTCTCACCTCACGTGACATGCTTTAAACCAATCAGATTGACTGTATAATTCTGAAGGATAATAATACAATGTATCTGTGTCCATAATTCTATAGGCCTATACCATGTTATAACCAACTGTAGGTTATTTTTTAAAATACCTTATAAATCTTAACACATCAGGCATTTGAGGAACTATCTTCTCTTAAACTCATATCTGATGACATCTCATGAGTGTTCAAATATCAGGTATTTAAGGAACATTCTCTCTCAAATTTACCTAATCATGTAAACCACTGTACATGTACACTGTACCTAAACTGAGGAACGACTGACCTACCATCTGTTTGAAGGCAGACCTGGGCTTGGTTCATATACCATACACCCAGCTCATTCTTAATGTTGGCAAAGCGTTTCCGTAGGAATATCACAGAATCAGGTTTGTCACTGGAGGCTTTGAGAACATCCAGAGCTTCTTGGTAACACTTACAGCACTGGATTAGACAGCCCTCTATATCACCTATTTTAAGCTCAAACACCCAATCATACTCTGAAAGAAAAAAAACATAAGATTTAAAAAAAAATTAAATAACCAAGTGAATTGCAAAACAGAAAAATCATTTCATCCAGAAGCTGTCATTTCTAATTTATACAGATTCTAAAATACATTTAATGAAACAGTAACATTTCATTTCCCCTGTGAAAAAGCTCTTCTTTGTTTCTGTCAATTTTAGAAATAAAAGGCTCATAAACCTTGACAGTCAAATGAGTATCACTCAGGCATGACCAGCTCAGCCCTGCCAAGAACTCGTGACCTTTATGACAAAAACAGACAATTTGTTTGTAAGTCCTATCATTATAATTGCATTGCAATGAGTTTGTTTCTTAAATGCTCAGGAGTATCGAATTTTTTTTAAAGATGATGTACTTTAAAATATAATCAATATTTCACATCATTTGGTCAAGGGCTCATATAGCCCAATTTATTTATGTACCGGTATATACTATATGGTTTGAACATATTTTATTGCACTAAATATATACAATGGGATTGGGCACAATACACTATATGGTAGCTGTAATGGTCAAAAGGTCATCTCAACTTATCCTGGGATCTAAAAGTAAGCTATTGGGAAAACAATTCATATTGCCCGTCAATGTCCATATGGAAAGACACCAAAAGTTGAACTTCCTTTCATTATTATTGAAATCAATGTACTTTATCTTCCCAACATTATTGATCAATCAATATCCCCCAGAACCTCCTTTTGTCAGTCTAACCTACCAAAACTTTCCAGTTCCCTGGATACACTTTCAGACAGACAGATTTCATCCTCGGAGTAATTAACCATGTCCTCCGTCACTGAGTGGAGACTGAGATTCTGGTGAACACAGAGCAGCAACAACGTCCCCAGCCAGACTTAACATCGCACTCAACAGCTCACTGTTCTCTGTGGCTCTCTCAGGCAGCAGAATTTTCATGGCATCTACAAAAATGAAAAAAAAAAATTAACAAAATTTAATGTCAATAAAACAGTGTTGTAGCTATATTATTTACAAATATTCATGAAAATAATTTAGTTTTTTTAATAGATTGACAAACAGAAAGAAAGGCACATGAAAGTGGATATTGCAAACACACGTAGACCTCATCATATTTGTTGCTGGCTATGAAACCTGTTTGACATAAAAGTCATCCAAATGAAAGATTAACCTATAGCAGTATCTTGCTAAGGGAGTCGAAGATGATGAAATAAGTCTTTAGAACTTGTGCCAAAACTTATTGTATAAATTCATTGCAATAAAATATGTTCAAATCATATCAAGTTTTGAAGCCAGGGTTAATAAAAACATCAACTATCTTTAATGTAATTTGCTTGGCAATCATCTGTGTTTCACCAAGAATACACTAACCAAAGCACTGGAGTGAAATTTTCAGGAGACGTAGACTTTTCCCCGCCTTGTATTCTACTGCGGCTCCTCTGGCCAGTGTGTACAGCGCCACAGCGGCTTTCTTCAGCAGGAGGACCTTGAGGGTGCGGTGCCACGTCAGGGAGCTCTCGGTTTCCACCACTGACTGGTCTTTGTCATGAAGGGGTGGTTCCGTGTCATTATGGGGTGGTGCTGATTTCTGAAGGGGTTCGTAGTGCAGGGGTATTGCCGTGTTTTTGTTACAAGTCATTTGTTCTTCCACTATGTTCTTGTTTTTTCGGATCTGTATGGTGAAGTCTTTATCTAGACACAGTAATCCCTACAATATATTTAAATACATGTACAATACAATGTTTAATTCAAAAAGATTAAATTATAGTAAATTCCTGTTTAGTTAGTAACTCTTTATGGATAACAAGATGTGATTGTAAAACTCTGTTGACCATTCATACCAAAGGTTAATGTTTCTCAATTGCATGTCAAAGTGAAGGTTTAAGTCTTAACCTTAAAATAAAGTAAACTTCTTCATTGGATTATGGCTACCATTCAAAATATTTTTTAGAGAAAACCAGCTGGACTTTATACCACTGATAGCTGCTTTGACCTGTCAACTAACAATATAAATACATAATAGAGTTAATTAAATCTTACCTTTGTGGTATGCTTAACTGCATCCAGACATCTCTCTGTGACATCAGCCATGACCTTTGAACTCTTGACCTCAGTCACCACCGGTGTGCTCTTAGTTGGGTTTGCCTGTTTCCTGTAGCTATTCTTATCACACAGTGATTTTAATGTTACCGATGTAAACTGTTCATCTTCTATGTCTGAATTATCTGACTGTAAAATAAAGTAAACAGATGACTTATAATAAAGCTGATTTTAAAAATAACACGGGCAACTAAATCCGGAACTAGGTCCTAAGCCCTTAAGGAAAACAAATTTCATGATTTGTCATAAAGGGACCATAGCTGCTGCTATCACACATATAAACTATATATATATATATATATATATATATTTGTTGACCTTCTATATCATGGAAAAAAATAAGATTTGAAGATATTTTCTTTTTGGAATTTTAAAAAATATAAATCTTCTTTTCAGAATTTTAAAAAACATAAATTCGCTTTTCCCTGCCCTAGGATCTGAAACCATGGACAAAAAATTCACAAATAAGGTAGAGGATTTGCCACCCATTAAGATTAAGAATTAGAAAACCTGTTTAGAATGTAATGTCCACTTATTTACCTGTGTGTACGATGTGTTTTCCAGCTCAGCAGCTTACTTGTTTAGAATGCAGTAACCATCTATTTACCTGTTCAAGATGAGTTTTCCAGCCTGTAGCTAGCAGCCTACCTGTTTAGAATGGGTGTTGGTTTCCTCTCCATCAGAGTCTTTCTCATTGTTGTCTTTCCAGCCATCTTGTATAATAGCGTCTGGCACTACAACATCTGAGAGGAGGTAGTGGGCTGAAGTACATATCTATACAAACAGAAATGTTTACACATACATTTCATTTTTCCTGGCCAAATGGTTTTGGCAAAAATGATTTCCAGTGTTTTTTATGTAAAACTTTGATCATCCATTGTGGCCCCGTCCTACCCCCGGAGGTCATGATTTGAACAAATTTGAATCTACGCTACTTCAATATAAATATAAATAATGGACCAGTGGTTCTTGAGAAGATTTTTAAAATTATGTTTTCAATCCCTATACTTCAATGCAAAAATTGGATTCCCCATTTTGGCCCCACCCTACCCCTGGGTAGCTTGGAAGCCCTGAGAGTACCATGCTGGCCTGTGTTTAGCTACCTGTATACACAGAATGTTACCTGTATTTCTTGTATACATTTTCCTGACAAGGTAAAACAACTTCCTTGTTTTTCTTGTGTAGGTCAATCGTAATGTTGATTGTCAAATTTATGAAATAAAATTCTGTTGGCGACATTCTGAGTTCAAATTTTTGTTTAAAATATGATTGAATAAATATGACAATTAAAATAATATTGCCTGTGTTCATTAATTTCAAATGTTAAAATGAATACTGGACCATAATCCATTGTTGTAAGCTGGCAACACATTGAATTGCAAGTCATGTATGCAAAACGAAAGTAGAAATTTATGCCGATTTTAAAAGCTAGAACATGTAAAATCAAGTTAAAGTTATCTAATCTGTTTGCAAGATCTTCCCACTTTTTAAAGTGCTTGTGCCATGGAATCAATGTTCAATTTGTAAATAAAAGTATACATGTATGAGAAATTTGGATCCGCAAATAAATATATAAATACGATAAATTGTGCAAATTGAAAAGCCAGATTTTTATATATATCCCGCGCATGCGTATCCCAAAGTTTGTCCAGGGCATCCGGTTTAACCTCGCTTATATATTTACTGCGTGGACCTCAGGGTCCATGCAATAAAAAGACTTCTGTTTGGAGGCTTAATTTTGTAGAAAATGTCATGAATTATATATATTTTTTTTTAAAAAAATATTTCCTGCATGATTTTTCAAAGATGCATGGTCTATAAAAAAATTTCAGTGCAACCGACTTTTAATGTCAGTTGGCTTTATAGATGCTGTATGAGTGAAATATTGTATACAATCAGACACAAAATCAATCTGCAGATTTCTTAATAACAGTAACATTGTCACAAACGGTTAACCATCTCCCTTGACAAAGATATACATGTACTCCCTAAACACAGATATACATGTACATGTAACTAACTTTCTTAGTGTTTCCTAAATGATTGACATCACTCTTTCATTTCCATCAATACATGATTTCCTGAGAGCACCAGGATGAAAACGTCTTTTGCTCTTAATTACCTCTAAATTAGTTCAAACACCTGAAGCGTATTAAGTTTCCTTGATTCAGAATTTTGTAGTCTGATTACTTTTTCTTCATCACACTTGACAATTTAGGACATGTGTTAATTTTTTTTATAACTACAGACTACAAGATGTACTCCATTTTGAGAACACTTGAAATTACAACATCAATGATGACATCATCAGTGACTTTTAAATACTAAATTTTCCTATTATTTGCAATATCATATTTCATTAATTATAGGTCAAAAATGTAATTCAAAGTATTTTTGGTATCATATACAATTATTGCTGCTTTTTTAGGTCAATATGACGATAGACACCTGATGAGTACAATATTCACTGAGTCTGAAGGGTGAAGTGAATTTTGTACTTCAAAGGTGGCTAAATCATCGTATTGACCGCAAAAGAAGCAATAGCTGTTTTATTATATGATTAAGTGATAGCAAACTCCTACAAGACTGGGTTTTTTTGCTTTAATTAAAAGCTTTAACAAGAAATTTCATCAAAAACACAAGGTAACAGGAAAAATGGACAGGAATAATTCCTTATATTGATATCGCGACCTGCAATAATTCCTTATATTGACCTGGCAGGTCACATGATTCCTTATAATGACCTGCCATAGTTCCTTATATTGACCTGAAAGGTCACTTGCAGGTCAACATAATGTAGTATTTTTCTAACACTGTTGGATCTCAGCCAATCAGAGAGAGGGAAATTATTCAATTATATAATAATATACAGTTATGGACTTAAAACCACATACAAAAAATTACATTGACACAGTCCTAACTGAACAGACTTGATTGTCATTACGTCACAATGGTTAAGGGGGGACCTATGTCGTTCGACGTCAAAGCAGCGTTATGTGACGTCACAATAGCGACGTTTGTTTTTTTTCCCGCTGACTTTTGCAACTGTGATCATAGGCATAACATTGTGATAAATCAAAAACGTAAACAGTTTACAGAAAGAAAGTTTTTTCATCAATTAAAACAGTTTTATTTGATTTATGGAGTTTGTTAATATCAGAATTCTCTCCCTTTGGTTGATAATTCATAGCAATTTCAGTTGTGAAGAAATACCTCTATGATATGCTGATATAGAAATTTGCAAAAAATATGATAAAATTCAGCAAAGACAGAGGCTTAAATTAGGGAAATATGTTTAATTTTATGATTACCATTAATTGTATTTTCTGGATAAAACTAAGAAAAAATTAAGAAATATTACTTGTACCTATATTTACTTAATATTGATTTATAGTGCATGTAGATTTTGTTGTATAAAGTCATTACTAGGTTCTATTAGGTGTTGGTTGTTGACACACAGAATGATTAGAATGAAGAAGAAAATAGTTTATCTGTTTAAATTATTTCTTATCAAAACAAAATACTCATTTTTTACAAAATAGTTTTATATTCAGATGTTTGTCAGTGCTAACTTACCTTTTTTTTAGTGCAGAAAGGTCAATATTTATGACAGAAGAGTACGAAAATAAAAGAAAACGTCATATTTCTCGTTTATTTTATCATAAAGGTATACTTTTTTCCTTGTTAAATTAAAGAGAGGGGTCAGTTCTTTCAAAAAATATAAATTACAACATTTTCACACAAAGACTTTTTAAGATATTACCTGTTATGTATGTCAGAATTGTAAAAAATACGACAAGAAAAACGGGGTGATACTTACATTGTGCTCCTTTATAATTTTTCATGCGAGATGAATTACAATGAATTTGCCTTCATTTTAAAGATACATGTCATATAAATTAAATACATGTTGATTTCGAATGTGATTTGACATTTTTGGTTCTTTTTAGCACATATTTGGAGTAGAATAATAATGACTGAAAATAATCTATTTTTAGCATTTCACACTGTTTTTGCACGTGCTCCTGTGTAAAAATAAGCATATAAAGGTATTGTTTTTAATACCTAAAAATTAAGATAAAGTGGTTAGGAAAGAAATGTCAAAGTTTTGAAAATTTCACACAAAGACTTTTCGGACATAGGTCCCCCCTTAATTTCACGCTTCTTATATCATGACATCACGTTTTACGTAACTTCAGTGCAACCGAACGGGTGTTGTGCGATATCATTTTCCGCGTCAATATGGCAAAAGGAGGAATATCACGTGACGTCCTTTCAGCCAATGAAAACTATGAAAACAAGAAATCTGTGAGCCAATGCTCACTAGTAATACCCCCGCTCTGATGTAAATAAGCACTATCATGTTAAAATACACAAGTTCAATTACAGGCAGATGCACAGAAAAATATGAAGTTGACATCAGATTCATATCAAAATAAATCCCACCATATGGCATGCCTCAACAAAGAGTGTAATAAAATTTCAAGCATCCGCTATAAACAGCTAATGAGAAAACTGCGACAAAGATTTGTAATGTATGAAACGGACAGACGCACAGGCAAACAGGATATTGATATCCGAGATTAGCGAAAATATATCCCACCATATTGCATGCCTCAGAGAAGATTGTGTTTAAATTTCAAGCATCTATGATGAGTAGTTGCTGAGAAAACTGCGACAAAAATTTGTTATGTATGAGATGGACAGACGCACAGACAAACAGGAAGTTGACATCAGATTTGAACAAAAATGAATCCCACCATATGGCATTCCTCAGAGAAGATTGTGTTAAAATTTCAAGCATCTATGATGAGTAGTTGCTGAGAAAACTGCGACAAAAATTTGTTATGTATGAAATGGACAGACGCACAGACAAACAGGAAGTTGACATCGGATTTGAACGAAAATGTATCCCACCATATGGCATGCCTCAGAGAAGATTGTGTTAAAATTTCAAGCATCTATGAGGAGTAGTTGCTGAGAAAACTGCAACGAAAATTTGTTATGTATGAAATGGACAGACACACAGACAAACAGGAAGTTGACATGGGATTTGAACGAAAATGTATCCCACCATATGGCATGCCTCAGAGAAGATTGTGTTAAAATTTCAAGCATCTATGATGAGTAGCTGCTGAGAAAACTGCGACGAAAATTTGTTATGTATAAAATGGACAGACGCACAGACAAACAGGAAGTTGACATCGGATTTGAACGAAAATGTATCCCACCATATGGCATGCCTCAGAGAAGATTGTGTTAAAATTTCAAGCATCTACGATGAGTAGTTGCTGAGAAAACTGCGACGAAAATTTGTTTCGGACGGACACACAGACAGACAGACAGACAGACGGACAGACAGACAGACGGACGGACAGACGGACAGACACACAAGGGTAAAACAGTATACCCCCCTCTCCTTCGGAGCGGGGGTATAATAATCTTCTTATATAATATTGCTCAATATTCTGAACATGCCCATTTAGATGTGTGACATATATTGTGAAACACCCTATACCTATCCATTTTTTTTTTTTGGTCTCAGGTCATCTGTCCTTCAGATTTCAAATTGTTCAAAGTACCATCTGCCCTTCTCAGCATACAGTTTGTTGATCTATTATAATAACACAATTATAATTACTAAATTTTGTCATGATTTTAACATCTAGCGCTTCATGAACCAGAAGTCTCTGTCGAGACTGAAGCTCTACTGGTTTGTACTTATAGCAAAGGAAGAGAAAAGTACTTAAGCAGTTGGAAATTGAAACTTTTCAACAGCAATAAATATAGAATAATGATCCTTGATTAAGTCTCTTTATGTTCTTAGTGCAGTCTACTTGCATGCCACATTTATATTATAATCAGACTAAAATTGTATTAGGAGTAGCATTTTGAAAGAATTTCACAGAAATTTCTATTTATAGCAACCATGGCAACACCGTTCATCGAAATCAAAAACTGATACACAGAATTATGTATCTTATTGTAGTTTACTTGTGTGCCAAGTTATATTGAAATCAGACTAAAACTGTAGAAGGAGTAGCATTTTGAAAGAATTTCACAGAAATTTCTATTTTTAGTAACCACGGCAACACCGTTCATTGAAATCAAAAACCGATATACAGAATTATGTATCTTAGTGTAGTCTACTTGTGTGCCAAGTTATATTGAAATCAGACTAAAACTGTAGAAAAAGTAGCATTTTGAAAGAATTTAACAGAAAATTCTATTTTTAGTAACCACGGCAACACCGTTCATCAAAATCAAAAACTGATACACAGAATTATGTACCTTAGTGTAATCTACTTGTGTGCCACGTTATATTGAAATCAGACTAAAACTGTAGGAGGAGTAGCATTTTGAAAGAATTTCACAGAAATTTCTACTTTTAGTAACCACGGCAACACCGTTCATCGAAATCAAAAACCGATATACAGAATTATGTATCTTAGTGTAGTCTACTTGTGTGCCAAGTTATATTGAAATCAGACCAAAACTGTAGGAGGAGTAGCATTTTGAAAAATTGTTTACAGACAGACAGACGGACAGACAGACAGCTAGACAGACAGACAGACGGACGACGGATGCATTACTATCGCATAAGCTCTTCTGGTCTCTGACCAGTAGAGCTGAAAATATGCCTACGTGCCAGTCTGTGTGATTCACACACCAATAATTCACACAAAACAATGTCGGTCCAAATGACCGGCCCCTTTTTGGTTAAAGTTTTTTTTGTTTTGTGCATTTCCCATCTTAATTATCGTATCTTATATATGATTGTGTAATACCTATTCTTTAAGCGAGATTGAGGCTGTAAATGAAAGCAAAACTAGCATGATTCTCGTGACCTATTAAATTCACAACTGTGGCCGAGTTAGGTAGAAAACATATTAAAGAAAAACTTCAGATAAAGATGAGCTTAATATGAAAAATTTCAACAGAAAGAATTCAAGCATAGGTGGATACAGCATTTAACCTAGTATTTCCGACTGTCCCAGATTTTCGTTTTTTCTCCGATCGTGTTGATATCTTTATTATCAGATTATCGATGCAAAGAATTTTTAGACCCATTTTCTAGGATAATATTATTCCAAAATGTATAAATGTTTTAAAAAATTACATTGACTGTGCTGAATTAGAATTGTCACCTGCCCAAAAGCGGTGGTATAATTGTATCTAGTATTGTTATAAATGCAAAATTAAAAGAAAACGGAAGAGTACTTGGAAATGGAGACTGAATTTTGTTTTATTAACAACATGATTTATTAAATAGATGTGTTATAAAATGAATAAATGTTATGCTTTTTTCCATTTTGCGACTTACTATTTCGGACCGACAAAAATCACTTCGGACCGGCTTAGTTTGTTTTCTTGCCAGTCCGAATGACTGGCTATCTGAAAAAGTTTTCCACAACTCTGTACAATATATTCAATTTAGAATATTTCAAGACATTTTTAAAATATGACTTTTTTGGGGGCAGAAATATGCAATATACCTCTTATAGTTCTTTCTAATTATGACCAAGTTGTTCTTTAAAAGGTACTGTATGTGAATCACCTGAAACTGAGGATGCTTCCATAAATATATCACTTAGCATGGTCCTCCTCATCGTCAAAACCCATGGGTTTTCTCTTCGTTACACTGCCTTGAATGCAGTGTAAAAGAGAGAAAACCCGTGGGTCTTCCTACATTTGAGAAAATATTTTTTCATTTTTTCATATTTTTATATAATATTCACATCTTTCAGTTTGATCCCCTTTGGGGCCCCTCCCTTAGCCATGGGGTCATGATTTGAATAAATCTGACATTGCAATATGTGGGGATGCTTGTGTATTATTAATGCCAACCTATACCTGAGAGGAAGATTCTTTAGCACATTTTCCAATATTATTCCCACGTAAAACCTTGATACCCTGTTGAGGCTTCACAAAACCTCGTTATCTCAAAGTCAATGAGACAAAAAAGGATCTTTGATATATCCAAGAATTCAACATATCGAGGGTAAAGTACAAAAAGAAAAAAGTGATTGGGAGATCCAATTTGCTTCAACATATCCACGTTATTCAAGATAATCAAATTTCGAGATACAGAAGTTCTTTTTGAAGTGTTATCCTGGGAATGCTGTCACATCTCACATCAAATAGAATTGCATTACAAGAACCATGATATCAGGCGAAAAAACATATTGATAAGCGAAACTATTCTTTACTGACCATCACATGAACAAACCTGTGAATGCTTCTCTTCATCTAACAGCAGGAGACAGTTTTCCAACAGCAGTTGGATTTTTCGTCTGCTCTTGTTTCCATTTCTCCACATGTTACAGGCTACGCGGTAGAGCAGTCTGCCCAGAGGGACAGTGAAGGGGTTAGACTGGTCCTCCTGGCTGTCTGCTAACGACGTCAGGTCATACAGCTTGACCACATCATCGTCCACTCCTAAAATACACAATCATTCTGTGTTGGACAAGTTCTAATACCTTAAATTGGTACATCATTCATTTTTTTTCTTCACACTTTGTACACTAGGCAGAAATTTCTGTCATCATGTAAAAGCTAATTGATTGACTGTATGGTTACACTTAGTAACATCTGTAAGAATTGCGGAAACATCCCCAGCTAATATAAAGACAATCTCACTAAACATCTAACTGATAATATTCCAACTACTATAAAGTCAATCTCACTAATTATCTTACTGATAATATCCCCAGCTAAAATAAAGACAATCTCAATAATTATCTTACTGATAATATCCCCAGCTAAAATAAAGACAATTTCACTAATTATCTTACTGATAATATCCCCAGCTAATATAAAGACAATCTCACTAATTATCTTACTGATAATATCCCCAGCTAAAATAAAGACAATCTCACTAATTATCTTACTGATAATATCCCCAGCTAATATAAAGACAATCTCACTAATTATCTTACTGATAATATCCCCAGCTAATATAAAGACAATCTCACTAATTATCTAACTGATAATATCCCAAACTAAAATAAAGCCTATCTCACTAATTATTTCACTGATAATATCCCAAACTAAAATAAAGTCAATCTCACTAATTATCTCACTGATAATATCCCAAGCTAATATAAAGCCAGTCTCACTAATTATCTCACTGATAATATCCCAAGCTAATGTAAAGTCAATCTCATTAATTATCGCACTGATACTATCCCAAGCTAATATAAAGTCAATCTCACTAATTATCTCACTGATAATCTCCCTAGTTATTACAAAGTCAATATCACTAATTATCTCACTGACATTCAAATATTAACCTGACCTTTGTATAACCAGTATGTATGACCCTCCTTGGTGGCATTGGATTTTAGGAAAGACAATATATTACAGGCAATGTCCGTCACCATATGGGGATCAAACTCTGAGTCCTTGAGATTAGGAATATTCTCTGTCTTTAGCAGCTCATATTTCTATTAATTACAAGAGATTAATGTAAAAATGACTTACATCTGAGAGCAAAGTTTTAAGCATGGGATGACCAATTCATCATGTTTCAGAAAGTGAGAGTATATAGTATGTCTTCATTGTGAACATTTTTTGTCTTTCAGAAATCACCATATTTGATCATCTGAAGAACATATATGATACTTAGGGTACAATAGGCATGAATTGATATACCAGTATATCGAAATATATTTTGCTTGAAATTGGTGTCAGATTGTACAGAAATCTACAATACCATTTATTTAAAAATGAAGATAACAAATTAGAATTTAAGGTTCATAAACCCTCTGCTCACTCATATAAAATGTTGCTTGAACCTTAATGATTTTCCAAAAGAAATGTATTTTATAAGTAGAATACAGACAATTATAGCATAGCTTGCATGGCAAATTTGGACAAAAAAGACACTTCAACTTGGGAAATCTACAAAGGAATAATAGATATTTATGTCATTAAGAGTTATCTCCCTTATCAGAGTATCAATGAACCTTAAACTTTTTTAGTGCTTAAGAAAATGTCAAATGTTTCAAGAAATAGAATTTGGCATATTAAAGACTTCTTTTTGATCCTTGATATTTCAACTAGGTTGTATTTCAAGCTTGAAGAATGAATATTTTCCTCACAATAAGTATCATAAAAATATTGTTTCACCAAAATATGTTTCGTGTGCTTTGATACTTATCCCTACAACTGAACACTAGTCAAACCTGACCATTATATTGAACTCAATGGGACTGAGAAAAAGCTACGAGATATCCAAGGATTTAAGATATCAAGGGTAAAATACATAAAATAAGTGATTAAGACTTTCATTTCAATATATATATGGTATTTGAGATGTTGTTCGAGATACCAAAGTTAAGCAGTATCAGAAAAATAGAGGTAATCTTTCATGCAAAAATTAAACAAGCTGACCTGTAAAAGTCCTAGTAATGAGGTTACCTGTACAATACCATCTACATGGAAGCACATGGCCACCTCTGGGACATTACACATCAGGTTATCCAACCAATAGTCCAATCCTGTCAGGACGTTAATAGGGGTGTTCATATCCCTGGGGAGAAAAATAATGTAGCTTATAGCAGTGGGGTGTTCACATCCCTGGGGAGAAAAATAATGTAGCTTATAGCAGTGGGGTGTTCACATCCCTGGGGAGAAAAATAATGTAGCTTATAGCAGTGGGGTGTTCATATCCCTGGGGAGAAAGAAAATGTAGCTTATAGCAGTGGGGCGGTGTTCACATCCCTGGGGAGAAAAATAATGTAGCTTATAGCAGTGGGATATTCACATCCCTGAGGAGAAAGATAATATAGCTTAGAGCAGTGGGGTGTTCATATCCCTGGGGAGAAAGATAATATAGCTTATAGCAGTGGGGTGTTCACATCCCTGGGGAGAAAGGTAATATAGCTTATAGCAGTGGGGTGTTCACACCCTTGGAGAGAAAGACAATATAGCTTAGAGCAGTGGGGTGTTCATATCCCTGGAGAGAAAGATAATATAGCTTAGAGCAGTGGGATGTTAATATCCATGGAGAGAAAGATAATGTAGCTTATAGCAGTGGGATGTTCATATCCCTGGGGAGAAAAATAATGTAGCTTATAGCAGTGGGGTATGCTCATATTCATAGGGAGAAAGATAATGTAGCTTATAGCAGTGGGGTGCTCATATTCATAGGGAGAAAGATAATGTAGCTTAAAGCAGTGGGGTGTTCATATCCCTGAGGAGAAAGATATTGTAGCTTATAACAGTGGGGTGTTCATATCCCTGGGGAGAAAAACAATGTAGCTTAGAGCATTGGGGTGTTCATATCTCTGAGGAGAAAGATAATGTAGCTTATAACAGTGGGGTGTTCATATCTCTGAGGAGAAAGATAATGTAGCTTATAGCAGTGGGGTGTTCATATCCCTGAAGAGAAAAACAATGTACAGGTAAACTTCCCTATCTCGACATCGGAGGGACAGTCGGGAAATGTCAAGATATCCGAGGTGTCGAGATATCAGAGTTGAGACTCGACGTCTTTAATTTACTGCATAGTAAAACTGACGTGTAACTACGTACATGTCTTCAATAGACTTAAGCTCGTTTGTTTCAGTTATCCCTCTATATTTATTAAACAAGAGGCCCACGGGCCTTATAGGTCACCTGAGTATTGTGTAACAACTTTCAAACAATTAAATTTGGTTCGTGTTTTAAACCAGAGGCCATGAAATTCACAATTCACAATTTTGAAAGAGGCACCATTGCTTATCACAATTAAAAATACTCTACTTACTCAATACCTAGAGGTAGATCAGAGTTACAAAGAGAAAATGTTCTTCCACTGTATAACCAGTTGTGCACCTCACCCCAAAAGAACCACTGAACCTGGGGCCACATATTTCAAAATTTTGCAAATTTTATCATAAAATTGTTGATTAATACTGAAGAGTAGATTTCAAAACATTAATTTATTTTCAGACTATGTAACCCCCCCCCCCCTTCAGGGCATAAAAATAACCATTTTGCTAGATGCACCTTTCTTCATCATAAAGATGTATACTTGGATAATTGGCATAAAATTCACAATTTTGGAAAAGGCACTCTTGCTCATCATAACTATGTGCTTAGTTAGTTTATTTAATACTCAGAAGCAGAGAAGAAGATTTTCAAAGAATAAATGCATTTTCACTATATAATCTATAGAGCCCCGCCCTAACACCAGAACCCCTGGCCCTGGGGCCATAAAATTCACAAATCTGGAAGAGGTACTCTTGCTCATCATAACTATGTACTAAGTTAGTTTATTTAATACCCAGAAGCAGAGAAGAAGATTTTCAAAGAATAAATGCATTTTCACTATATAATCAATAGAGCCCCGCCCTAACACCAGAACCCCTGACCCTGGGGCCATAAAATTCACAAATCTGGAAGAGGCACTCTTGCTCATAATAACTATGTACTAAGTTAGTTTATTTAATACCCAGAAGCAGAGAAGAAGATTTTCAAAGAATAAATGCATTTTCACTATATAATCTATAGAGCCCCGCCCTAACACCAGAACCCCTGACCCTGGGGCCATAAAATTCACAAATCTGGAAGAGGCACTCTTGCTCATCATAACTATGTACTAAGTTAGTTTATTTAATACCCAGAAGCAGAGAAGAAGATTTTCAAAGAATAAATGCATTTTCACTATATAATCTATAGAGCCCCGCCCTAACACCAGAACCCCTGACCCTGGGGCCGTAAAATTCACAAATCTGGAAGAGGCACTCTTGCTCATCATAACTATGTACGTAGTTTTTTTATTTAATATCCAGAAGCAGAGAAGAAGATTTTCAAAGAATAAATGCATTTTCACTATATAATCCATAGAGCCCCACCCTAACACCAGAACCCCTGACCCTGGGGCCAAAAAATTCACAAATCTGGAAGAGGCACTCTTGCTCATCATAACTATGCACTTAGTTAGTTTATTTAATACCCAGAAGCAGAGAAGAAGATTTTCAAAGAATAAATGCATTTTCACTATATAATCTATAGAGCCCCGCCCTAACACCAGAACCCCTGACCCTGGGGCCATAAAATTCACAAATCTGGAAGAGGCACTCTTGCTCATCGTAACTATGCACTTAGTTTGTTTATTTAATACCCAAAAGCAGAGAAGAAGATTTTCAAAGAATAAATGCATTTTCACTATATAATCTATAGAGCCCCGCCCTAACACCAGAACCCCTGACCCTGGGGCCATAAAATTCACAAATCTGGAAGAGGCACTCTTGCTCATCATAACTATGTACTTAGTTTGTTTATTTAATACCCAGAAGCAGAGAAGAAGATTTTCAAAGAATAAATGCATTTTCACTATATAATCTATAGAGCCCCGCCCTAACACCAGAACCCCTGACCCTGGGGCCAAAAAATTCACAAATCTGGAAGAGGCACTCTTGCTCATCATAACTATGTACTTAGTTAGTTTATTTAATACTCAGAAGCAGAGAAGAAGATTTTCAAAGAATAAATGCATTTTCACTATATAATCTATAGAGCCCCGCCCTAACACCAGAACCCCTGACCCTGGGGCCATGAATTTCACAATTTTGGTAGAGGACTCAATGCTCATTACATTATTGCCAACAATTTGCTGTTTGATGTCCAGGAGTAAAGAAGAAGATTTTTAAAGATGGCACTAATTTCAGTGGTTTTGGCCCCACCCCTCAGGCCCCAGGGGGGTGGGGACCATGAAATTCATAACTTTTGTTCCCCTTCACCCATAGATGCTGTATACCAAATTTGGTTGAAATTGGTTTAGTGGTTTCAGAGAAGCTGAAAATGTTCAAATGTTAACACACGACGCACGACACACGACGCACGACGACGGACGAAAACAGATAGCAATAGGTCACCTGAGTGACTCAGGTGACCTAAAAATCTGAGAAATTATTCACAAATGTAATTAATGAAATGCTTCCCTTTTTTACAGAAATCTTCTAATTTTACTAATAAAAGTTTTCCATCCAGCATTCCGCGTGCAACTTGCTTTGTCAGAACAGGATACGAAATGCGCTCTATATAAACTCAAGAATGTAACACATGCATTCTAGCAGTGCGCATGTCGTAGATTGGATTGCTTCCTGTTGAAAGTATTTTTACCATAATTTCCAAGTTAAATTGAATTTAATGTGTATATCATTCAGTGTAATTCAGCTTCTTTTTTTTTTTTTTTACTAAATGTTAAATTTATGTTAGATTTCGACATAAATAAACAGTTCTACATTTACGCAGAATCGACGAGCGACCAGCTGACAAACAATTATGCTAAGTTCAGCAGAAAATTGCCCCAATGTTGACAAATACCAGGTAAATTTTGCTATTGGGACTGTGAATATACGTCGAGATAAGCGGGGTAGTCGACATTACCGAGGTCGACATATCTGAGTTTTTGCAAATCATTTATATAGTAAATAATGCCGGGACCGCGGACGGACATTGACATATCCCAGGTTGTGGACATATCTGCCGTCGAGATACCGAAGTTTACATGTAGCTTATAGCATTGGGGTGTTCATATCCCTGAGGAGAAAGATAATGTAGCTTATGGCAGTGCCGTGTTCATACATGTATCCCTGGGAGAAAGATAATGTAGATTATAGCAGTTGGTTGTTAATGTAATTTTTGACTACTCAAAGTAATTCAAATATTATGTTACTCTATGTTTCTTTTTCTTTTAGTAAATTTACTCTTTTATGTATATCACTGTTTATATTTTGGTAAACTATTCATATTGCTATGGAAGTTCTATTTAAAAAGTCTCTATATATGTTTATACATTGTACATTTTTGGTATATCAATGAAAGAGGAATAACTTTTACAGTTCTTTGCATATTAAAGATTCATGATAGTCATGAATTACATGAATTCCTGACTTATTGTAAATGTGATATATTAATTTGCTTCTTAAAAGAAGCAATTCTAATAATTTGGTATTGATAGATTCAGATTATTTTAATCATCATGCATTTTTTAGCGACATGTACATGTAGTATGGATAAAATTTTGATCGTAATGTTACAGATTTCCAACTATACTGTGAATTCTGACCTTAATTGTTTAGTTATTATTACTTAAATTGTAACAAAAAGCATACCTTAATCTTAGACTTACACATGGGTAATTAGTGCCACGTGTAAATATAGGTAAATCTGTGCCAATTAACATCTGAATGTTCTCAAACGTCCAGATCAGTTCTCGGTGCTGTCCAAACAAGTCCTGTAATACATATATATATCATTATCACAACAAATCATACTGATAATTCTTAGTATACTCCAGTAATTTTGTTACATTGATAAATAAGCAAAACTTACATGTATTTATGGATTTCATTGATTTATTCATATGATATATTCTTTAATTTTTTTAAATAAGTGAAGCCTTTGATCATGTGTTCATTGCCAAAAAGTATTTCCTGAAAAATGCTGTCAATGAAAACTTAAAAATGTCAGAAATGAAAACTATAAAATGTCAAAAATGAAAAGTGAATTTTTTTTTTTAATTCCAGAAATGCAATACAGCCATGGAATGGTAATTATTCCGCACATTGTGAGCAATCATACTCATCCATGTCTCACTGCACACAATGTGGTGAACAGTTTCTCAAACAACAGAAATACATCTTTTGCTTAAAAGTGTTCAAATGCAGCAATGTTTTCACTATCTCTGTTTTGGATAGGTTTTTTTCAAAAGTCTTTTTTATTACCAGGTAATTTTAGTACCAGGTAGTCAGACACTAGCAACTTTTTGTCTTTTTTAAATAGATAGCAAAATTGTGAAAATTTGGATTGAAATAGCAAAATAAAGCTACCTGAGGTAGGTAAATAAATATACTACCTGTGTAGCTAAATGTACTGATAGTACTGGACCTGTAGGAGGTAGTATTATTCTAAAACCTGTGTAAAATTTTGAAAATCAAGGAAAAAATGACATGAGATCTAGCACAGTGGTATTTTTATTAAGATGTCCTAAAGGGCAGGGCAGAGAAAAAAATAATACCCCTGAAAAGGTTTTCAAACAAAAATTTTGAATTGGTATTTATAGAGCATGACTTGAAAATGACAAACCAGCCCTTTTTACAAGTGACTCTTAATGTCAACATTTCACACATGTACTTCTATAATTTCTAAAAACCAAAAGAGTGGATCAGACTCAATAGACCCCAGTGTATTCACACCCTCCACCCCCCCCCCCCCCCCCCTTGTCTCGGAACAAAACTTAATTCTAAAGAACTGTTATAAATGTACTGTATCCTAACTAGATAAATTTCATGCTTGACAATTTCTGGAATTTATCTGACAATTAAAATATTCAAAGAGTATTTTCATGTTCAAGTCCCGAAAAGCTCTCTTCACGAGTGAAAAATGTTTTTTGACATTGAGAAAATATTTAATAAAGGTGTAAATATTGAGCTTATCTATTTAATTTTTAATATATGGTACGTGGCATTTACCCCCAGAAAAAATGTTTAAACACAACAAAGTATCATTTAACAGAAATCACTGTTGTTTACTTCCATAGCTAAAATATATACAAGACCTTTTAAAATGATAAGAATACTAGAATTGATTGCAAATTTGGTGATGTACTGTAAATTTCTGTTTATTGGAATTTAAGTTCTTACAAAATAAAATCTGATAGTGATCTTTATGGACTTACTTCTGAAAAATCGTCCTGCTCACTAACATCTCTGTTTAATGTAGAAACTGGCAGCGATTCTCCTGAATTCAAAGCTTCTTGTACACTGAAAACATAAATACCCAAACTGTACGTGTGTCAGAACAAAATGTGTATAAACCATGTGCATGTATATCTGCGTAAAACAAAACAGAAAACTGTTCTCTTTAAAAAGATTTCAAATTTCCATGTAATACTGTATAACCGATATCACGTTTCCCTGATTAAACTAGACCTCAGCTATAAATACAGTTAAGCCTCCTTATCGTGAACTTGGCAGGACCAAGATTCAACTCTGAGAGATCCAATGGTTCTAGCTAACTAGTCCATAAAAAAACATAAAAATTAAGTGTTTGGGAATGCCAACTCACTTTGACATACCCCTAAAGTTTGAAATATTAGTGTTCAGGATAATGAAGTTAAACTGTATATTTTCAATTTCTGCAAACATGACATTGTTTATTCTGAAAACTTGTTCTGTGTTCAAAATCTTCATAAAGCTCCATAAACTTTTACTGGGAAGTTCACTGCATCATAATCACCTTAGTGAGAAAATCATTTACCACACGTTAACTCCCTTTTTAACTGAAAAAGCATTGAAAAATGAAAATGACAGATTGACTACATATAAAGAGAACAGGTTTAACAATTTTACCTTCTGTACAGAAACTTAGAAAGCATGTTCTTATTCTGGAGATAGTCTCTGGTCTTCTTTTTCTTTGGCACACATTTCACCTAAATACACATGTAAGTGAACTTGTTAGAGACTTCTATCAATGAAGATTTATACCCAATCTCTAGTTAAAAGTAAATCCCAAAAATATTACCTGCATGTCTTTCTTTACTGACTCCAAGTAAAACTCTCGCAACCATTTCCAGTCATCCTACGGTCATAGGAGTGTAAATAATTAAATAAATCAACAAACAAGTCTGCATCTTGATATTCTTATGAAAACCAATGAAATTTATGATTATAACACTTGATTTCAGTTGTAACCTTTCTAAAAACTACCATGTTTACCAAGTTTGATTAAAGTGAACAAAAACTCCAAAAGAAAATTAACACATTTTGAGTTTGATTTGTATTTGTTTTCTTCATATTTCATTCAAGCAAGTAAACACTCCTGTGTTTCTATGTCTAATACTATACGAAACTATTTCTGAGCAAGTCAGATATTAAACATAATTGAGAACTAATTGTACACATATAAACAATATCTGCTACCGTATACACTCGCCTATAAGTCGGTCCGCCTATAAGTCGGTTGTATTTTTTGACGTTATTTTGGTGGGATTTGCTATTAACCCGCTCATAAGTCGGTACAATTTTTTGCCAAAATCTAGTGACAATTTCAAGTAAATCCATTGATGTTTTAACCTGGTTTCAATTAATATTTTTCGAGATGTCAATGATATTTAATCTTAAATTATTTTTTTAAGAGGCAAGGCTCACTTAAAATACAAATAAAATTATTAAAATATGTAAATACTTGTACTTTATATATATAATCTCAGAATACATAAACTATTTTATATATCCAGACATTTTCTTTGATAATCCTCGGAAATGCAAATAAGATACTACATTTAAGCCTCCAGAAAAATGCCAATCTCTTTATGACTCGCTTCTAAGTTGGACATAGAGTTTTAGACCAATATTTAACTCCAAAATACCGACTTATAGGTGAGTATATCTGTTAATATTTCACACAACAGATACCTACTAACTTACCTTCTGTTTTCTCAGTAGGTTTTTGTGGATATCAAAGTCATCAATCAGAAGGGAGTTGTCTACCTTGTGAACCATCATACTGATCTGGGACTTGGACGAAAACGGCATCTTCAGCAGTTTCTTGATATTCTGGAGTATAAGAACAGACCTGTTTACCCATAACGTTGTCTCTCAGTATTTTTCTTTAGATTTGTCCGTGAGATTTGGCATTTGCCAGTAAGATTTCATTTTCCATCAATTTTACATATATTAAAAGAGAAAAACTGCTTTTCTGATTACAAAAACATGGTTTAACAACAAGGTCTTTGTCATTTTGTAATACCATAGCGTTTTGGCAACCGGATATCGCTTAGGTGTTTGAAAATCTTTCTCTTATTTAGCGATAAATAAAGGAAATCTACGACAGATCATAACGAAAACTAACTGTTAAATTCCAAACTAACTTATTTCTGATTTCCGTATTTTCATGTTGGCAAAACGTGAGACGTATTTTAGACTAAAAATCCGTAAAAAATACGGCGAAATCGTAAGAGTAAACAGGTCTGTAAGAAATACATTTATCAAATTAACAATTTATTTGATATACATGCTACTAGAGTATATTACCAACAATTCCATATAACTTCAAATCATTAAGATTTTTTTTATCCCAGGTAAAAAAAAAGGAAGTTCCAAAATCATTAAATAACAAGTAAACATCCGAGCACCTTAGCTTGTGAGATCACATCAACTTCTCCTGTAAGGTCTAATGCATTGTTTGCCATTGCAAAACTGAAAAGAGAATGTTTCTGGTTAATAATAAAGTTTATTCAATACCTTTGTTATCTGAAAATCAATGAGAACTCTAAATATAAATGGAAGGTGAAAAAATTACAGTATTAGAAATTGGTATTTCTAATATTAGCTTTGGCATATATTGACCAAAGAATGTGATTCAAAATAATTAAAATTTTACTGCATAGTAAAATCCACTCCTCTAAGACTGTGGTATGCTAAAACACAGCATTGTAGAATATTATATGTAGGAACAAAATTATAATTAATTTTAAATTATGGGATATAAAGGTAAACAGATCGAGAATATAATCATGGGAGTCAGATGTTTATTAACTGGTCGGCATATATTGTGAAAAAGATTGAAAATCCTAGCCTAGAGCTTCTGGGAATTTCATCTGTTCATTATTTTTTTTTACAGACCCCCCCCCCCCCCCAAAATGTACCACTATATACTGTCAGGGTTGTCTATAAGACCTTCACTGCTTATAATCATATCCCCCAGCTATTTTAATATCATCTCTCAACTCTTTATGGGAGAAAGAACCTCAGAATCCCTTCTGCTTTTTAATTGTTCCCTGCTATTTTAATTCTTAGGGACAACCCTGATTGTGAATATAAAGAAAGGTGTAAATCTAAAAACATTCCACATCTTATATTGCATACCTTGAAACTCTTTTTGGCCACAGAAACTGCCTAGTCTTCTGCTGTTGGGGGAGTGACCTCCTCCTTAACCAGTTAGCTGGAGGCTTATTGAGATCTGTGTGAGGCTGCAGTAAGGCCATGAGAGGAGAGAAATCTAGTGTAGGGTCCTTCACTCTCACTACAGACTTGATCTCCCCTCTATCCTGGGAATCTGTGCTATCTGTACTGCTGCTTCTACTGTATCTTAACACAGGCTGGAGTTGATCTGTTGGTGATGTTACAGAGTTCTGTTGTGACACAAAGGATGAAGAGCAGGAATCGTTATCCCCCAGCGAAGAAGCATTTGCCGTCAAGTCTTCAGTAATGCTGTCATTGTTTGATGTGTGTAGGTGCAAATTCTTTGGTACATCCATCTACAAATATGTTCAATAGGTAAAACCAAAAACCATACAAAAGGTTACAAAGTATTAAATCTGCATATGGAGCTTATTGAAGTAGAAACATAGGTAATCAAAGATTACGAAGCTCACCTCGACGAATGTTATCAGTGTAAGTAATGCAGATCTCACATCATATTTTCTTAATGTCTAGTATTTATCCCAACAACAATATTCTTGCAAATTGTGTTTAACCCCTTACATGGCATATACACATTTCTACGCATGTAGCTTGAAAAACATGTATAGTGTAAACAAATATTCATAAATTTGTTAATACTGCAGATATCAAGGACTTCAAGTTCATTGGGATTAATCTGTCCCCAAAACTTTAACCTGGTCTCTTGTATGAAAAATATAGGTCAGATTCAGCATCCAAAGCAAGTCTGATAGTGTCCATCCCTAGATGCATCATTCATGCAAGTTTGGTTCAGGTAGGTCTTATAGTTACTTGGGAATGAAATTGTAGGTCAGATCCAGCATCTGATGCAAGTCTGGTAGTGTCCATCCCTAGATGCATCATCTATGCAAGTTTGGTTCAGGTAGGGCTTATAGTTACTTGGGAATGAAAATGTAGGTCAGATCCAGTATCCGAAGCAAGTCTGGTAGTGTCCATCCCTAGATGCATCATCTATGCAAGTTTGGTCTTGGTAGGGCTTATAGTTCCTTGGGAATGGACCTACTCCAAAAATTTTAACCTGGTCACTCATCTGGAAAATGTAGGTCAGATCCAGCATCTGAAGCAAGTCTGGTAGTGTCCATCCCTAGATGCATCATCCATGCAAGTTTGGTCTGGGTAGGGCTTATAGTTACTTGGGAATGGACCTGCTCCAAAAACTTTAACCTGGTCACTCATCTTGGGAATGGACCTGCTCCAAAAACTTTAACCTGGTCACTCATCTGAAAAATGTAAGTCAGATCTAGCATCCGAAGCAAGTCTGGTAGTGTCCATCCCTAGATGCATCATCTATGCAAGTTTGGTCTTGGTAGGGCTTATAGTTCCTCGGGAATGGACCTACTCCAAAAATTTTAACCTGGTCACTCATCTGGAAAATGTAGGTCAGATCCAGCATCTGAAGCAAGTTTGGTAGTGTCCATCCCTATATGCATCATCTATGCAAGTTTGGTTTGGGTAGGGCTTATAGTTCCTTGGGAATGGACCTGCTCCAAAAACTTTAACCTGGTCACTCATCTGGAAAATGTAGGTCAGATCCAGCATCTGAAGCAAGTCTGGTAGTGTCCATCCCTAGATGCATCATCCATGCAAGTTTGGTTTGGGTAGGGCTTATAGTTACTTGGGAATGGACCTGCTCCAAAACTTTAACCTGGTCACTCATCTTGTGAATGGACCTGCTCCAAAAACTTTAACCTGGTCACTCATCTGGAAAATGTAAGTCAGATCCAGCATCCGAAGCAAGTCTGGTAGTGTACATCCCTAGATGCATCATCCTTGCAAGTTTGGTTCAGGTAGGGCTTATAGTTACTTAGGAATGGACTTGCTCCTAAAATTTTAACCTGGGACGCTGACGCCGACGCCAACGCCGGGGGTATAGCATAAGCTCATTTCGACTTCGTCGAGGTGAGCTAAAAATGACACAAAATTATAACTAATCTCAGTGAGATCCATATAGAGACTAAAAATTTAGTCTCTAGGATCTCGCTGAGATTTAAATTTATATCACATAACCTTATATCATCCAATTTAACATTCACCCTCTATCTTTCGCTCTCTTTCTCTTCCCCCTTCCCGCACGCAAAAACATACAAACACTTACAGTACATTACTTTCACACTGTTTTAATGTTGAAGGTTGCAGACGTATTTATCACAAACACCAATGTTTTGACAAAAATAGACCAATATCCTACGATACTGCCTCTGGCATAGTCATGTTATTCACAGTTTGACGTTGTACACGTTAAGGTCAATGCCTGTATAAGAGTGATTTTAATCCTGCTTTAGCATTCGGTAATCAAAATTACCAATGATTTAAGGAAATAAAATATATGGAGAATTCTGTCTTATAACTAGCATAAGGCATATTATAGGGAGCGAATCAAATAACATGAGTATATACCGACGCAAGTTCTGTTTTTACTTCCATGAGAGTCAATTAGACCGTATCGATCATACATATGTGAAGAACAGGTAGCGAATCAAATAACATGAGTATATATATATACAGACGCAACATTCTAAAAGCCTCTGAAAGGGGAGATTTTCCCCGGAAAAGGGTTTCTTTGGGGGACATACAGATAAAAAATGGGGCTTGGATTTTTTGGGGGTTTCATTTTTAAAATGATCATGTTTTAAATGATCAAGGCATATTATAGGGAGCGAATCAAATAACATGAGTATATACCGACGCAAGTTCTTTTTTCCTTGCATGAGAGTCAATTAGACCGTATCGATCATATAAGTGAAGAGCAGGTAGCGAATCAAATAACATGAGTATATATATACAGACGCAACATTCTAAAAAGCCTCTGAAAGGGGAGATATTCACCGGAAAAGGGTTTCTTTGGGGGACATACAGATAAAAAATGGGGCTTGGATTTTTTTGGGGTTTCATTCTTAAAATGATCATTTTTTAAATGATCAAGGCATATTATAGGAAGTGAATCAAATAACATGAGTATATACCGACACAATTTTCGCCTAATGCAATTCACGTAAACTGAAGTATATTATGATATCACAAACAGAAAAGATATGTAAAGAAATTAGTTTAAAAATATGCTATTTATTCCGTTTGGACAACAGACAATTAATTAATTACAATAAAATAAATTTTGCTATTTATTCCGTAAAATGTTATATCTTAATTTACATAATTTACGGAATAAACGCAATTTTATTTCATTTAGCTAAAATTATGTTGAATGTGTAATAGTTAAACTAGACACATCTATATCATTCTATATTTATTGATGACCTAATGAGAAAACAAATAATTGAATTAAGTTTGGTATTTATTCCGTTAATTTTATTTCAAATTTATATATATATGCTATTTACGGAATAAACGCAATTTTAATAGTTTTAAAAATTATGTTTCAAATATTCAAACGTGATACATCTTAAATCATTTGCTAGTTATTTCGTATGCTATAAAATGTGAACAAATATTTTACTGCTTGTAATTTACGGAGTAAACATAATATTACTTTTGCTCTCAATGTTGCTTAATTTTCAATATTGATACAGAATAAACAGCAAATAGATTGAAATGCAAATAGTTTAAACGTTTATTACATGAAAGTATGTGGTTTTGTTAAAAAAAATATTTATACGGCTTATATTAAGTCTTTGTGATTCTTTCATATTATTCTGTGGTGTTAAGAGTGTTCACTCGCCAGCTACCTTCATAGGCCTAGAAGTGCAAGTTGAAAGTGAATGATATGTACTCAAGAAATATTTCATTCAGGAATTGTCGGTAGTAAAATGATCCCTTGACACAATTATAAAATAAGAAATTTAGTAAGTATATGTTTTTTTAAAGAAATAAATGCTAAATGTTATTTATTCACTTACCTCGAAGGAAAAATAGAACTTGCGTCGGTATATACTCATGTTATTTGATTCGCTCCCTATGATTTGCCTTGATCATTTGAAAAATGATCATTTTAAGAATGAAACCCCCCAAAAATCCAAGCCCCATTTTTTATCTGTATGTCCCCCAAAGAAACCCTTTTCCGGGGAAAATCTCCCCTTTTAGAGGCTTTTAAGAATGTTGCGTCTGTATATATATACTCATGTTATTTGATTCGCTACCTGCTCTTCACATATGTATGATCGACATGGTCTAATTGACTCTCATGCAAGGAAAAACAGAACTTGCGTCGGTATATACTCATGTTATTTGATTCGCTCCCTATGATTTGCCTTGATCATTTGAAAAATGATCATTTTAAGAATGAACCCCCCAAAAAATCCAAGCCCCATTTTTTATCTGTATGTCCCCCAAAGAAACCCTTTTCCGGGGAAAATCTCCCCTTTTAGAGGCTTTTAAGAATGTTGCGTCTTTATATATATATACTCATGTTATTTGATTCGCTACCTGCTCTTCACATATGTATGATCGATACGGTCTAATTGACTCTCATGCAAGTAAAAACAGAACTTGCGTCGGTATATACTCATGTTATTTGATTCTCTCCCTATAATATGCCTTGATCATTTAAAACACGATCATTTTAAGAATGAAACCCCAAAAAAATCCAAGCCCCATTTTTTATCTGTATGTCCCCCAAAGAAACCCTTTTCCGGGGAAAATCTCCCCTTTCATAGGCGTTTAGAATGTTGCGTCTGTATATATATACTCATGTTATTTGATTCGCTACCTGTTCTTCATATATATTTAAAACGAACCCTTACCTTTTGAAAATCTACCCTTTTATAGAATTTTAGAATGTTGTCTCTGTATATGTATGCTCATGTTATTTGATTCGCTACCCATTCTTCATATATATTAACGATTATCTAAAGAATCCAGTATTGGAGCTCTCTCTCTCTCTCTCTCTCGTATTATTTTATTTCCTGAAATAGCAGTAAATACTACTAAATATTCGAAAATAATAATATAAACTGTATAACATCATTAGAATCCCTCTTATACAAGAAATGACGTTAACGTGTACAACGTCAAACTTATTTCATTCGCGAAGCGAATAACATGATTTATATCACATAACCTTATATCATCCAATTTAACATTCACCCTCTATCTTTCGCTCTCTTTCTCTTCCCCCTTCCTGCACGCAAAAACATACAAACACTTACAGTACATTACTTTCACACTGTTTTAATGTTGAAGGTTGCAGACGTATTTATCACAAACACCAATGTTTTGACAAAAATAGACCAATATCCTACGATACTGCCTCTTATGCTTGTCTTTGTTTAGGGCAGAATCATGTGTCCCTCATTTTATATCCAATCTTACCTTTATTTGGTATGTTTGGTAACAGTATTTTCTAGAAAGTTAGGAGGAAAAGTGAAATGAAACTAGGATTAATTTTGAGTAAATCAAACGTATTAATTTCCATTCAAGAATAGATTTATATAAATGCTATGCCTTTCAGTAAAGGATGATGGTAAAAAAAGAGATTTCAAAATTAAATATATAAGAATCTAACGTTTTATTATAGAATTGATTAGAATGAAAGGATTTCAAGCATTATCTCGTTTAACTCGAATAACTTGAGTATGAGTTATTGATGTGGGTCATCTCAAAATACGTTAGAAAACCGCGATGATTTTATAATTTTTGTAAATATGATGATGTATAGTAAAAGCCTTTGATTTAAAGTTCATTTAAGAAATAAGTTAAAAAACGGAATTTTTGCATGAAATATAATGATGTAATTGTTTTGATCAATTTTCGGATATATATAAGCCGACCGGAAGCGCACCTAAATTTTAATCAACAATGGCGACCGTCGGAGGCATGTGCGTGAGAACTGTCACATCAATTTCAAGAAGTTTAAGACATAATATTTATCCGAGAGTGACGTGGAATAGGTGAGCATTATAACTTTATGTTTTGTATATGTTATACAGAGTGATAACCTTGAAATACCTTGTTATATTCGTTTATTTACCATATGTATTTCAAGGTTACGAAACGTTCAAGATTCGCTTTCAATTTCATCATTTGCAAAGTTTTCTGAATTGGTATTATGTTAATTAATGAACAAATAAGACATGCAAAAGACATCCTTGCCAGGCCTTATTGTGAGGTGCTCAAGAAATGAAAGCTTTTTCATAAGAACAAGTTGATATGATTTACAATGATATTGAAAATTGCGTAAGAATTATGAACTTACATAAAGTCTTTGAGGGTGTCGTTCTTGTCGAGTTAAATTTTGCAATATTTTGTTTTTAAGCTAAATAATATAATAAATTGTTATAACTAACAGTTTCCCATTGGGAAAAGCAATCACATCCATTCATGTGGGATAATGGTTCAAAATTTAACGTAGTTTAACTTAGTTAGAATAATCTAACTTTGTCTCCGGACAAATCCTTACCACAGTTAGAATATGTTCATATACTAGCAATGTAGCAAATTGGAGCGGATCTCCTCCCGAAATGATTTTTAAGAATACAAAAGGGGTTGAGTTGAAAATAACTACCAAATGAATCAAAACAAATCTTTTTGAGATTGTATATGTCTTTTACCCAAAAAATAATCCATTGAGGACAAATATTCAACTAAGGATGTATTCACTTTGACAAAAGAATTGACCTATAGGAGAGAACAATTTCAGTCTACATCAGTCTATGCGAAAGTCACCGGACCGTCGGTTTTCACCGGTAAAATTTAGGTCGGGTCGGTAAAAAATTTCAGTATTTCCCGGAAAAAGTGACATTTAAAGATCAATCTTCATTTGTTGTTTTCTACCGTATATATGTCTAAATTTTTCAAATCTAGATTTTTCACCTAAAATTTGTTATTGACAACTTTACAATAAACCTCCAAAATCGGCCGGCACACTATTTTATCCGTTAAAGTGTTAAATTTTTGTATGAATTTTGACCTAGAAGTCCTTCAGGGCAGGCCTGCCCCTAAATAAACTTGTGATATTTTGATAGGTTGGGGTGTAAGGAATAATTTAAGATAGGAATTTTTTAGGGGCACCCCTGCCCTAGGGTCGAAATTCACTAAAAACCTACAAAAAATAAGAGAACCTGATTTTGATAATCTGCTTCAAATTTATTTTTTTCATTCTGATAGTCAGACTAGCTCAGTTGATATATGTGCTGACTTTTAGACTGTGGTAAACTTTCATTTTAAGGTCGTGGGTTCGAATCCACCTGGTACCACACTTTTAAAGTTTTAAATATCGCCTTTTCAAAGACTATTTTAATTTTTTTCAAATACTTGTGTATTTTTCTTCAATTATCTATCCTTTATGCATGCCCATTCTTGATATAAGAAACACTAAAGAGATATCAAATCGTAACAATCAAATGTACAGTTGTCAGTCAGGCGGAACAAACCTAAGTATGAGCACACTTTCTCCGAGGACAAGACTAAAAAGTCTATTCTCAGTTATGTTAAGGAAGGTTTGAGTTCACATTTTGTGGTGCACTGTATTGGAAGCTTAATTGTGATGTCATGAAAAATTTAACAAGCGACTAAAATCAAATTAACGACATGATGATTCGTAAATAACAACTCATATTTCTTTACTTGATCAATTATTTATAAAATCTTGTAAAATCACCATGCTTGATTACAATGCTGTCAAGAAATAGAAGAAAGTTTCTCATCAAATATGACGTCACCTTGCAGCCTTAACATGACGTAGTATAAGTGATCCTGAGGAATCGATTCACTGGTTTAATAATTACAAAACATGCTTAAAGTTCATTGATACTCTGATAAGAGAGATAACTCTTAACTCTTTCAACACTGAGTAACTTTTATCAAGCAACCCCTGGTACACTGAGTAACTTGGGGCAACACTAAACATTTTACCTTCCGTCACAAAAAATACTATAACATCTTTATTTCTTTGAATATTTTAATAAATGACACATCATTAGAAAGGTGAGGCATTTCTCTTTTAAATGATATAAATTTTATATATATTCAAAATTATTTAGCAAGTCAAAAACACTAATAAATTTCATAATTACGTTTTATAACAGATCTTATGCAATAATTTAATAAATTTGCTGCTATGAAGTTTAAAATCAATTATGTTCTTACCATCGTTCAAAAGAGAAATTATTTCCGAGGAAAATGATATGCAATATGTCAGAATTTATTTAAAAGTAAGTCCATAATTATTGATAAATAAAACGGGGTGTTTCAGGACATCGGAAGAAGTCTGGGGCGTGGAAAACATCCTCTGTTTAGGAGCCTCGATATTCCGATTCCGAGGCAACTTTCTCCGACAAGATTTCACAACATTGTTAATAACTCATATTTTTAGCTCACCTCAACGAAGTTGGGGGAGCTTATGTAATACCCTCGGCGTCGGTGTCGGCGTCCACGTCGGCGTCGGCGTCCCAGGTTAAGGTTAAGTTTTTTGGAGCAGTTTTCTTTTTAAGTACTTCTATGTCCTATATTGATTAGACATGCATGGAAGATGGTTCTAGTGTGTTTCATTGTATCAGTCAAAGTTTCAGATGCTGCAATTTCAGCAAAGGGATGACCAGGTTAATGTTTTTGGAGCAGGTTAACATTTTTGGTGCAGTTTTTGGTGTAGGTTTCATTTCCAAGTAACTATAATCCCTATGTTGAACAAACTTGCATGGATGATACATCTAAGGATAGATACTACTGGGCTTGCTTCGGATGCTGAATCTGACCTATATTTTCCGGTTGATCGAACAGGTTAAAGTTTTTGGTGTAGGTTTCATTTCCAAGTAACTATAATCCCTATGTTGACCAAACTTGCATGGATGATACATCTAATGATGCATACTACCGGGCTTGCTTCAAATGCTGAATCTGACCTACATTTTCCGGTTGAGTGAACAGGTTAAAGTTATTGGTGCATGTTTCATTTCCAAGTAACTATAAGCCCTATGTTGACCAAACTTGCATGGATGATACATCTAAGGATGGATACTACCAGGCTTGCTTCGGATGCTGAATCTGACCTACATTTTCGGTTGAGTGAACAGGTTAAAGTTTTTGGTGCAGGTTTCATTTCTAAGTAACTATAAGCCCTATGTTGACCAAACTTGCATGGATGATACATCTAAGGATGCATACTACCGGGCTTGCTTCGGATGCTGAATCTGACCTACATGTTCCTGTTGAGTGAACAGATTAAAGTTTTTGGTGCAGGTTTCAATTCCAAGTAACTATGAGCCCTATGTTGACCAAACTTGCATGTATGATACATCTAAGGATGCATACTACCGGGCTTGCTTCAAATGCTGAATCTGACCTACATTTTCTGGTTGAGTGAACAGGTTAAAGTATTTGGTGCATGTTTCATTTCCAAGTAACTATAAGCCCTATGTTGACCAAACTTGCATGGATGATACATCTAAGGATGCATACTACCGGGCTTGCTTCAAATGCTGAATCTGACCTACATTTTCCGGTTGAGTGAACAGATTAAAGTTTTTGGTGCAGGTTTCATTTCCAAGTAACTATAAGCCCTATGTTGACCAAACTTGCATGGATGATACATCTAAGGATGCACACTACCAGGCTTGCTTCGGATGCTGAATCTGACCTACATTTTCTGGTTGAGTGAACAGGTTAAAGTTTTCATCAAGAGATGAAAATTCTCAAATTTGCTTCAGATGCTGGATTTTGATTACATTTTCATGAAGAAGAACTAGTTTAAATTTTTTATGTAGGTCTATTTCAAAGTATAAGATCAAAATTGCTTAAATATTTTCATTTTTGGAATGGTACACTTTTTGTTGGTTAATTATGTGAATTTGCCTTATTTAAAGACAACATTCGTTGAGGTGAGCTCTGTAATCTCTGATTACCTATGTTTTGTGTCTAGAAACATCTATAATGTCTTATTCCCTGATTTTATTAAATCTTTCATCGCCAGAAAGATCGGGCATTTCGTTGTTTACCGCCATTTTGCTTTCTTCTACGTTTTCTTTACTATTAAATCATCTAATTTTCCTTATTTTTTCGTGGTTTTCGCCATGTGGTCCGCCATTTTTGTTAACGGATGTTTACATCATTCTACCCATAATTCATAGCGAAAGATTTTGCGCAGAGAACACTTTCTATTTCTAAGAATAAACGTTTTACTTTCAGTTTAGTGTCTGAGACCGATGTATCGGTCTACCGTGTTCCAAGACAAAATTTTATCAGACCGATGTATCGGTCTACAGTGTTGAAAGGGTTAATGACATAAATGTCCATTATTCCTTAATTTCCTTTATAGATTTCCAAGTTGAAGTGTCTTTTTTTTTCCAATTTTGCCCTGCAAGCTATGCTATAATTGTTTGTATTTTACTTATACAATGTACATGTAAAATACATCTCTTTTGGAAAATCATTAAGGTTACATTTTATATGAGTGAGCAGAGGGTTTATGAACCTTAAATTGATATGAAGTCATCGTGTGTTTTTTTAAAAAGCCTAATCATTAAAACGAAAAGAAGATATTTATTTACAATGTAAATAGAATATGGATTTATCTAGTAGCATTGGAGCTGCACAGGGACAGGAATGTATAGAACTACAAGGATAAGAGTATTCTTGATTTACATCAAAGTGTAAGGGCATAGACTAAATTGTTTGAGCTGAAATATGGAATATTAATTGCTTATATAGTGTATATTTTGAAAAGTACTGGGAGCTGATTCTGGTTTGCATAACTTTATTTAATACAGAATTAAAGCAAAGTGGAATTTTTTATCTATTGTACACATTTTCTGCAATATTTTCAGAACTTCCCAGCACAGACTAGCTCTCTGCACTTTTTGGGTAGAGAAAGTAAACATCTTTAAATGTGAATCAATTTTTTTCTTCAAAAACAAGTGTATGTCCTTGCCTTTGCCTCATTTCCTACATTCAGCTTAACAATTCTATTTTTTTTTAGCTCACCTGAGCCGAAGGCTCAAGTGAGCTTTTCTGATCAAAATTTGTCCATTGTCTGTCGTCATCGTAGTCGTTGTTGTCGGCGGCTCGTCGTAAACTTTTTGTATTTTCATCTTCTTCTCAAGAACCACTGGGCCAATTTCAACCAAACTTGCTACAAGACGTATCCTTGGGTAAAGGGGATTCAAGTTTGTTCAAATGAAGGGCCACGCCCTTTTCTAAGGGGAGATAATTATTTATAAATTAGAGAAAAATTAATGGCATTTTTTTAAAAATCTTCTCCTCAAGAACCACTGGGCCAGGAAAGATGAAACTGATGTGGATTCATCCTCAGGAAGTGTAGATTCAAGTTTGTTAAAATCATGACCCCCGGGGTAGGGTGGGGCCAAAATGGCTGATCAATGTTTTAGATAGGAGTATATAGGAAAAATCTTTAAAAAATCTTCTTCTCAAGAACCACTGGGCCAGGAAAGATGAAACTCATGTGGAATCATCTTCAGGTAGTGTAGATTCAAGTTTGCTCAAATCATGACCCCCAGGGGTAGGGTGGGACCAAAATGGCTGATCAATGTTTTACATAGGAGTGTATAGGAAAAATCTTTAAAAATCTTCTTCTCAAGAACCACTAGTCCAGGAAAGATGAAACTCAGGTGGAATCATCTTCAGGTAGTGTTGATTCAAGTTTGTTATAATCATAACCCCCAGGGGTAGGGTGGGGCTAAAATGGCCGATTGAAGTTTTACATAGGAGTATATAGGAGTATATAGGAAAAATCTTTAAAAATCTTCTTCTCAAAAACCACTGGACCAGGAAAGATGAAACTTATGTGGAAGCATCTTCAGGTAGTGTAGATTTAAATTTGTTCAAATCATGACCCCCTGGGGTAGGGTGGGGCCAAAATGGCCGATCAATGTTTTTCATGGGAATATATAGGAAAAATCTTTAAAAATCTTTTTCTGAAGAACCATTGAGACAGGAAAGATGAAACTCATGTGAAATCATCCTCTGGTAGTGTATGAAGGCATTCTCAAATAGTATTAAAATTCAAGCCCCCTCCCTCCCCCCCCCCCCCCCCCCCCCCACCTCGTTAAACTTTCAGTTCTGATCTGATATTTGCTAGCTGATGTGCTCAGGTGAGTGATGTAGCCCTTGGGCCTCTTGTTTTAAATACTTATCACATGACAAACAACTGATACATGCAATATAACTGTTACTGTGTAACGCCCAGCTCTATCCATGATGGTTAACTGTATTACATTTTCTACATGTGTTCAGTTATTTTGTTACAATTTTTTTTAAAAAGTAATATGTTTAACATATGAAAATGGTGCTAGGATCACATTTTCTACTTCAGTCCTTAACATAGCGGAGTTGTTCTACAAGTTTATATCTCATTATTATTATTTTAAAGTTATGAAATAAATAAAATCAGTCCCTTTCAATGTATGCTGCTATGCTGTCTACATCATACATGTTGTTGTATCCATGATCTCTTCTTTCAATTTAAGAGGAAATGAAAATCATAGTTATTCCCTGGGAATAACAATGCCTGGATCCACCAAAATGAATTTCCGCAAAAATTGATGTGATTGCTGATGCTGAAGTTAATTATAGTTTCTGTTCTCAAATATGGTTAATATTAAAAACGTTCCAGCACATATAAATGTATTAATTGAACAGAAGTAAAAAAAACACTTCCAGAGTTTATATCCTTTGTGCTTTATACTGTAGTGCCTGGAAGAACTACAGAGACTGGTGGTGTTCTGAATATTTCCAAGAGTACAAATTAAGAATAAATTTAGAATAACTTGGAGCAGATTGTTGTGCAGTATATTCATGATTTCAGAAAGTAGATTAGCACTACATAAGGACAGAGGACAGATACCACTGATAATGACTTAATCCATCCTAGATTATGTGGAGGAAAAATCCTGAATTGAAGCAAAATTTTGTTCTTGTCAGGAAAAGCCCATTTTGTCAACTGGATGGAAAGCCTTTCTGATTGTTTAGCATGTTAAACATACACTGTGATACAGAATATAGGGGAGTCTGCACAATAGACTCATACAGAATTCCCATCTAGCATAATTTTTTTTTCTTTGTGAATCCGATTCCCATTTCAGATCTTGGATTTGTAATAGAGTTATCTCTCCTAGCTTGTGTAGTATTCAGCTATAGGTATTGAGTATGTAAACTTGTAAAGTGTCTTCAGTAAGTCGTGTTTCATTAGCTTTGTTTTAATATGCACATAACTTATAATGGTGAACTCTACCTGAATGATACAAATGTACAGAAAATTTTGTCTTTAAGCATTACCTGGCAGAGTACCTTTATATCTATATTTTACACTGAACAGAGCCTGTCAGCTGAGCATGTTTTGATTTTAAGGTTTCAGAATGAAAATTTGTCACTGTCTTGAAATACATGTACAGTGCAGCATTTATTTCTTGGATTTGATTAGTCAAAGAGTGTAGTTTTTAGAAATTCAAATAAGGATGAGAAAAACATCTTCTAATCAATTTCTTTGTGTGAACTTTCAAATCATTTTTAGTTAACTGTTGGCTTCAGCCTAATTATTTTCTCTTTTACTTTACAAGATTACAAAGTGGCCAGTACTGCACTACAAACTCAGATGCAAAGGGAGACAAATCAGAAAAATCGGAAAATACAGGTGATGAATCCCAGAAAATCATAGAGAATCTAACTGCAGAGGGTGAAAAGCTGAAGACACAGGCAAATGACTTCAAGGTAGATAAAATATAGAATAATTCGGATTAAACTGACCTTTATACTATACATGCAGTTACATGGCACATTTTCAAGGTATACAGCCTTACATTTTAACAAACTTGAAATCTCTTGAATTGACTTGAAATCACAAAACTTTTCGTGATGAGGACTGACTTTGGGCATTGTTTTTGAGGGTATTGGTGTGTCTAGAATAGAATAAACCAAGAATCCATTCTGTAATGGCTCAAGGTGGGACTTTGTTTTAGTGCAGTCATATCTTATTACCAGTACTGGTCATCGAAAATTGGTTGATCAGTGTCATTATAAGTTTTTATTACACCTTGTAGTGAAAAAAGGCATTGGCTATTCATTGTAATGTTCTTTTGAAGAAAACAGGGAAGAAAAGTTGATATAAGATAAAAACCAAAATGGAGGAGAATTCTATCTTTATAAGGCCAGCTTTTATGTTTATTGTGGTGTTTATTTGCATCACAACTTCTAATGTATCAGAAATATTTTGATATCACCATATATCTGCAATTTGTTGTTGCTTTTAGATTCTGAATGTGATGTTTAATTTTTTTCAAATTTTGCCCCATCATGAATGTGACTGAAGCATGCAATGTCATCGGACAGTGTCCTGTTCTTCTCTCTGTCTTTCTGTTTCTCTTTGCATTTAACTCTGACAGTTTCAAAGAACTAATTCAAAAAATTCTAATGAAAATTCGTTTGCTAAAAATACATATTTTGATGAGAGCTATTCAAATGCATCAACATCAACAAATATGGTAATATTTGGCCAAAACACAGTATTTATCAATGACAAACTTATGGAGGCATCTTTTTAGGCAATTTTACCTTTACAGTAAAACATGGATCACCAGGAATGGCTGAAACTTCAATAATTTACACTGTTTAACTTTCTAATACATGTACTGGGTGACATAACTACCCGGTAATTTATTGTAAAAGCATAAATGCAGTTTGTGAGTTTAGATTATTACTTCATACATTTTTTTTTTCAAAAAGGCTTCAGGCACAAGTGCTTGAGCAGGTGATTGAATGCTAGACTTTATGCCCCCTCCCCCTACTCCCCCCACCCTTGTGCTTAAAGTTTGCAAACAAAAATTTTAAATGTGTCAGGATAAACTAGACTTTGACCATTATGCTATAGATCTTGTAATTTAAAGCCCTGCTAATGTCAAGCAATCCCTCCCATCCCTCTTTACATGAAACGAGTAGTAAATTTAAGTAACTAAAAAAATCGTCGTAAAATTGGACCAATATGTAAAGGGTAATCTCTGACATGTAGAATGATATTTATTTTAGCTGTTTTTTCAGTAAAGAAGTCCCTACCTTAGGGTATCCTGCCTTAAGCTTCCCTTGACCCCACTTTCATGCTAATAAGAAGCCGGAGTTGTGAAATTCCTCTGTCTCTGGATTTTCAGGCTGACAGCTGGTGGTCCAAATTGTCTGGGGCAGGAAAAAAATTGTTCCAACGTCACAAAGAGGATGACAATTGGAAGGTTGGAATACTTTGATCAGTTGTCAAGTTAGAGTTGTCTTTCTTAGTTTATTCTGCCATTGGGAGCTTATTTAAATGTAACGAAGAAGTCATCATAATTCTTGGTGAAAGGAGAATGATAATAAAACAATTTTTGGAATGCAGTCTTTCAATTACAAATGTTTACAAAATTTCATAATTTATATGAAATGTAATAAATTATTTTTTCAACCCAATAAATGCCATGGTATTGTGTTATTATACTTCAGTAGCAGTATTTCTGCAACTGGTATGTTATGTAAAGGAAAAGACACTTCAGAATATCTGGGAAAAAAATCCATACCAGGTTGCTTATTTAGCAGCAGCTAAAGGAGACTGGTACATGTACTATATGGTTATTCTTGCTATATATATGTTTTTAGGTCACCTGAGTCACTCAGGTGACCTATTGCTATCCGTTTTCGTCCGTCGGCGTCCGTTGTTCGTCGTGTGTTAACATTTAATTGAACATTTTCAGCTTCATCTCTGAAACCACTGAACCAATTTCATCCAAATTTTGTATACAGCATTTATGGGTGAAGGGGAACAAAAATTGTCAATTTCATGGTACCTGCCCCACCTGGGGCCTGAGGGGTGGGGCCAAAACCACTAAAATTAATGAAATCTTTAAAAATCTTCTTCTTTACTCCTGGACATCAAGCAGGCAAACTGTTAGCATGAATGTGATGAGCATTGAGTCCATTACCAAAATTGTGAAATTCATGACCCTGTGGTCAGGGGTTCTAGTGCTAGGGTGGGGCTATATAGATTATATAGTGAAACTGCATTATTTCTTTGAAAATCTTTTTCTCTGCTCCTGGGTATTAAATAAACTAACTAAGTACATAGTTATGATGAGCAAGAGTGCCTCTTCCAAAATTGTGAATTTTATGGCCCCAGGGTCAGGGGTTCTGGTGTTAGGGCGGGCTCTATTGTGATTACACAGTGAAAATGCATTAATTCTTTGAAAATCTTCTTCTCTGCTCCTGGGTACTAAATAAACTAACTAAGTACATAGTTATGATGAGCAAGTGTGCCTCTTCCTAAATTGTGAATTTTATGGCCCAAGGATCAGGGGTTCAGGTGTTAGGGTGGGGCTCTATTGATTATATAGTGAAAATGCATTAATTCTTCAAAGATCTTCTCCTCTGCCCCTGGGTATTAAATTAACTAACTAAGTACATAGTTATGATGAGCAAGAGTGCCTCTTCCTAAATTTTGAATTTTATGGCCCAAGGATCAGGGGTGCTGGTGTTAGGGGGGGGCTCTATTGATTATATAGTGAAAATGCATTAATTCTTCAAAGATCTTCTCCTCAACCCCTGGGTATTAAATAAACTAACTAAGTACATAGTTATGATGAGCAAGAGTGCTACTTCCAAAATTGTGAATTTTATGGCCCCTGGGTCAGGGGTTCTAGTGTTAGGGCGGGGCTCTATTGAATATATTGTGAAAATGCATTAATTCTTTCAAAATCTTCTTCTCTGCTCCTGGGTAATAAATTAACTAATTTAGAATAAAGTTATAATTCCTCAACCAAATTTGTGAATTTCATGGCCCCTCTGTCAGAGGTTTTGCCATTTGGTGTAAGGGGGGTGCTCTTTTGATTATATATAGTGAAAATACATTAATCCTTTGAAAATATTTTCCTTTGCTCCTGTGTATTATGCTAATGATCCAAGTATATATATTTATGATGAAGAAAGGTGCATCTAGCGAAATTTCATGTCCCCTTGGTCAGAGGTAGGGGGGGATTACATAGTCTGAAAATAAATTAATGCTTTGAAATCTGCTCTTTGGTATTAATCAACCATTTATGATGAAATAAAATTTATGATAATAAAATTCCAAAATTTTGAAATATGTGGCTCCAGGGTCAGGGTTCCTTTGGGATGGGGTGCACAACTGGTTATAATTAAAAGTGGAAGTGCATTTTCTCTTTGTTACTCTGATCTACCTCTAGGTATTAAGTAAAAAGAGTAAGCATGCCAAGTTTAAAATTATGATTAGCAATGGTGCCTCTTTCAAAATTGTGAATTTCATGGCCTCTGGTTTAAAACATAAACCCAATTCAATTGTTGTAAAGTTGTTACATGATACTCAGGTGACCTATAAGGCCCGTGGGCCTCTTGTTAAATTATACTGCTATTTATGCTTAATAGTTTTCTAAGTGATCTAAAATTTCAAATTGGCAAACAAAATGCAGGAAGTGTATTAAGAAATATTAGAACTTGATCTTTGATGGGATTAATTTTTAGCCACACACTGATAGCTGAGATGTATTTATTCTCATAAACAGACATGGATTAAAGTACTTTGCACTGACAATACAAGTTCTGAGTACTAACAAGATGTGCTTGTGGAATGCTGATTCCCCCATGTGGCAGCTTAAAGTATAGATTAAAGTTTCTCAAATGCAAGTCAAACTTGAAGGTCAACAATTGAATAAAAAAAAATTTTACCCAAAGGAAGGACCTGCATCAATGGATAAACTAGGAAAATATGAAAGCCCAGGCCCAAACCATGTGAAGGTTAATGTTTTCGAAAATTGTATCAAAATTCAAGGTTATGGTTAAAAAGTCAGAATTAATGGTATACAGGATAGGACCATGTTATAAGAGATACACATGCAAAATATTAAAGACCTAATGTCAACTCTTCAAAAGTTATGCAAAGGTTAAAGTTTTTCAAAAAGTAGGTCAAACTCCAAGGTCAAAATTGTTGGTATCCAAAGCACCTCTTGACCTTGGAGTTTGACCCAATTTTGTAAGAATTTACCCAACTTTAACCTTAGCCACAACATTTTAACAATTTGTTCTAGGGCTTTTATGTTTTACATGTGTATTCATTGTGATCAGACCTTTTCTTGGATATATTTTTGACCTTGACATTTGAATTTGTCCCACTTTTTAAAAACCTAAACCATGGATATATCTTTTGAACAGTTAGCACCAGTGACCATATTTCAAAGCTGTCTTTCATATGACAAGGCCATAATATTTCACATTACTCTAGTCTTTTTTATGAAAAGTTCATCCCTTTAGGATCCCTTAAGGTCATTGGCAACGCAGGGTTTCCGGAGAAAAAAGGTTTATACCCAGGTTTTTTCATTTATAAAAATAGTCATTGAGAGTGATCTCCCGTATGGAATTCTCTAGGCGGTGAAAACCAATAAAGCGTGTGTTACAGATTGAGAGGTAAACAAAAGCACGTGTGTGTGTTTTATCTGATATATTCAACTCTACAATAATAAAAGAATAGCAGAGATGGGTTTGTTTATATTGAGTTGAGGGCCAGACAGTCAACAGGTCGTAATTTAGAATAAGTACATGTATGGTGGGAAGTGCAAAGAAGTGACATAATTATGCTGAAAGTGGTGATAGCTAGGTACGCCAGATGAGAACGATTCTATAGATTATGTGAATATCATTAAAAGTTAATAATAAATTCTTGCAAAAATGTTTAATGACAGTTCCTTTCAAATAAAGTAAATTATAGTATAGAAACAAACAACCAGTCTCTTGGTCATTATGAATAATAATTAGACGTTAAGGGACGTAACTCAAAATCAAAAACAGTGCTGGTATTGCTGTGTTTTGTTTCTATAATTGCAATTTGAGCCAAAGTATATGTTTGTGAAGGATATGAAGATTCAACAATGTATTTTATGTGTAAACTTTATGAAATAAATGGGTTTTAGAAAAATCTTATGGTTAAAAATAATATAGGACCATTTTATCAACATTTTACATAGGAAATGCATTGAGAATTGTAAAAACATTGATTTTTCAAAATCTTTAAAGAAAGGCTGGCTTCCAGAATTGAACATGTTTGGTTTAAACCTGTTCAAAAGTTCTTGAAAAATTCTATACAAAATCCAGAAACGTTGCCAATGTCCTTAATTTGAACCTTGGATAGCAACATTTTCATTTCAGAAACGTCAACCCTCACCAAAAACTGTCATATGGGGGCATCTTTCAAGTGTTTCACAAACACATCACATCCTTACTTACAAAATTCTTAGAGGTGGTGTATAATATTTATGTTTTTAGAATTAGGAAAACATGCTTTTAGCAAAGTGCTACAAGTAGTGACGTGCAATTTTGATTTGTTTTAAACATAATTTGTCATATCCAATAAGAAAATATGTTTCAATACCTTAGGGATTGATAATTTCTTCACTGTATACATAAATTCATCATAAGGGTGTTTGTTTTAATCATGTTTTACTGTATTTGTATCATTGTATTAAATGAAATTAATGCTGAAAGGGCCCACATTGCAAATGGTTACTGTATTAAATTTCTAAATGCATGCATTGTATACATTAGGAATTTATTATCAAAAAATTTTCATGAGGACCACTATAAAGAAAATAAAACATTTCTATACATGCTGAAAAATGTATGAAAGCTTATCCAAAATTAATATTTTGGTGGAGGAGGGTGGGGGTTATTTTCTTGTTTTCAGTTTTTCTTCTATTTCTTATCAACCTTTAGTAATAAAAAATGACTGGGCAGGGCACTTAATGAGAAGGGTGATAGGGGACAGGAATATTTTTGTCAATTTTAATGGGTGTTATGTATATTTAGTAGGGATGTCAAATCGGTCAATTTTTAATACTCGGTTACTCGGACGTTTTTCCGATCGAGTACCCGGGTACTCGGTAAAAGTGTAAATACATATGAACAAGTAGATTGATGAATGTAAAACATTGCAAACTCTTGTAGAAAAAAAAACACATGCTCTGATAGGAGGTTTACCCGTAAATGCATGTCTTTAAAAATGAGCAGGACGAAATTTAAAAACTTTAAGTTCAATTTATTTATCAGATAAACACAAGAAATAAAATCGCAGTTGTTCAAGGCGTTTTTTTTTTTTTTAAATCTTCCGTAATTGTAATGTAACTCTTTGTTGCGTTTGAATGTATTAGTTACTGTTTGACTTGAACTTGACCAATAATTTACGATTTTCGTATACTTTTCCATCATAGATTTTATAGTATTACGGGACGGTATTTTGTAGTTTGGTGCAACGATGGACATCAGTTTTTTAAAGCCTTTCCTTCAACCATTTGTACATGTATTCGTTGGCATGTAATCAAACACAACCATATCAACAGTCGCGCATGTACACCGTAATATCATCTGTCTCTTTTCCCGAGAATTTACGGCTTCTCGGAGAATTGACAAAATTATCTATTTTATTTAATCATAACAGACCTAAAACGATGTACAGTGAAAACAAATGATTAAAGCAAATCAAAATATAAGGGTAGAAGACAGCCGAATTAAAGGTGAGAAAAGCCAGGTAACAGGTTCTTGGTCACGATAATTACTGTATAAACACTGCCACGGGCGATAACGGTCATTTAGAGTAGGAAATCCTAATTACTGTGTGTACAAGTGCAATGAGTATTTCACGTTTTAAAACAGATTGTTTAATGCATTAATAAATAAGCTTAGAATTATTCAAAAATATACATCCGAGTCTCGTTGCCATCCCTAATATTTAGTGTTGATTCCATATTTAAAAATGCAGGTTTAAAAATTGAAATTGCATGTATTGAATTTAGGATATTTTAAGATAATTATGTAAAATTCATCCAGGTACAATTACAGATTTGCTTTTGAACATGGAACATGGTATCTTCTGAATAAATGAACCTGTTGATCTCTGAGGATTAAGTCATTTGAACGTCTTTATGGCATTTAACTGTTGCAGACTTTGGAACATGTCATGATAAAAATATAAAATTTGCACCTATGGTGCCTCTCTCATTGTGTTTGAGTACTCGTGCTTAACACTTTAGTGCATTTGAATTTATTTATTCTTAAGTCTAGCCATAAATATTATTGAAGGCATCTGAAGGATACAGAAAATAAAAATGGCAGTGTTACTTGTACTCTAGAGTGATTGTTTACATGTTTACAGTTTTAATTGTTGGAATTAAAAACAAGACTACACTTGTAAATGAGTACATTTGACTAAAGTTGCCAGAGTGCTACATGTCAAAATTTAGAAGATTACATGTACCTGAGTTGGGTTAACGGTTTTCATAACATGAAATAGTGAAGTTGGTTTTCTCTCTCTCTCTCTCTCCTGAATGACAAATTCCGACTCGGAAAAGACAAATGAAAATTTCAGTCATGTGTTAATGTTCTTATAATGTAGCCACTAGAACAGAGCTTTGAAATAGTTTTTAGCCCACCTGAGCTTTCCAATGTGATCATCCATTGTCTGGCCTGTCCAATTGTCTGTTTTTCTATAAACTTTTAATTACTTCTTTTTTTTTTTTTTAACTCTCTTCCAGAACCACTGCACAAATTTCAACCAAACTTGGCAAAAACTCCTCCCCTTCACCAATTTTTTTTTCCAATCCAAAGTAAAGTACAGGACTATTTCAACAACATTGTTTTTGAGATTTGATACACAAATATATATAAAGAACAGCAAGGCCAAGATGATTTTGATGAACATTTTGGTCCACAATTGTGGGTCTCTTGTTGTATATCTGCTTATATGTACAGTCTTACTGAATTAGCCATTGATCATGCTTGACTTTTAAGCAGATAAAAATCAAATAACAGATGGAAAATAGAAACAAATGTGTTTATGCTGTAATTAGAAAAGAAATTCATTTTGTAATGTGTACATAAATAAAGATAATTGTTTAAAATTAGTCTCCTAAAACAATACCTTTTAATGAGTAAAGCATGCTTTTAATATGATGTGGTATTATTCTATACGCCCACGAAATGATCAAGAATGAAAGAGAAAATGTTGAATTAAGAGATGGGAAAGGATGATGAGTCTAAACATGCAAGGTGTTATGTACTAGCATTAGGACTTAATTCACTCTTGTCACGTCTAAGTTAAAAGATAGGGGTACGATTGTTAGATGCATTAAACATTTTACAGGATGCCCTAGTGTACTTTTCCCCCTAAAAACTGTCTGAGGCAGATGAAAAACATCACAGACGACGTAAACACATCATAACAGACACTGTAGCAGTAAAAAAGGCTTAAGGAAATAAAATCATTCAAAGCTGTGAAATCCAAATATTCTATCTAAGTCCTGAAATGATGTCGCTACCAGATAAGTCATGTTTTGTAATTCGAGATGAAAGCTTGGTGATGAGCTACCTCAGCTGGAACTGAGTAGAGAGTATTGATTTTATTGAATCAACCAAAGAAAATTGCTTGTTGATCAAAAATACTTGTCTGACCTTTCACTGCTTTTTGATTATCTGTGGTTTTTGTGGTTCAAAACTGCAGGTTTAATTAAGATCTATAAAGTTTGCAAAAAATAACATTACTGTGTTTATGTCTTTACAAGGCAATAGCATAACTTGAATTAGAAAATTCTTAATGATTGATTATTAAATTTCTTTATAGGACAAATACATGAGGGCTCTTGCAGAAACAGAGAACGTAAGACAGCGGATGTCAAAGCAAGTCACAGACACCAAACTTTTCGGAATTCAAGGATTCTGCAAAGATCTTTTGGAAGTGGCTGACATCTTACAGCAAGCAACACAAAGCATACCAGAGGAAGAATTGAAGAAGAACAAGCATCTGGAAGACCTTTTTAATGGATTGGTGATGACAGAGGCACAACTTCAAAAAGTATTCCTAAAACATGGACTTGAACAAATTATTCCCCAGAAGGGAGAGAAGTTTGATCCTCACCTCCATGAAGCATTGTTTCAAGTTCCAGCTGAAGATCCTAAAATGGCTTCCAGTGTTGCCACCCTTGAAAAATTAGGATACAGACTGCATGAGAGAACCCTGCGGCCTGCACTAGTTGGAGTGTTTAAGTCTTGATAACATGGGACCAACTTCATTGCAACATCATATTTGTGTTGCCTGCAACACATGGCAGATACAGGGTCACTCAATCTGTTGTCTGTGTGTCTGTCTGTCATTATTGAGTCACACAATGAAGCAGTAATCAGGAAAGATTTGTGTTTATTATGAAAAAATCTTCACTACAGTGGGTAAAGGTAAAAAAAATTGGGGGGGGGGGGGGGATGGGGTATTTCTGATGTAACTAAACCTACTTTATCGTATATTATTTTCATTGATAAGAAGGAATTCTTTCTTTTTCAAAAAAGAGGCTAAAAATGAAATTGTTGATGATAAGCATAGATAACAATAAACTGCCCTGATGATGAAACTTTTGCAGGTAGCATCCATTGATACATGCCAGTTGTGCATACATGAATTTCATCTGGTCATTTCTTCATGAATAGTCTTCATTGTATTCCTGTTGATGGGAAAAACATGATTGTTTTCTGTGACAGTCACTTTAATAATCCCATTATTCTTTTTTTTAATTGATATACATGTACAAAAAAAAAGACTCGAAGTCAAAATGGTAATAATACACCGGTTTACCAGACTTGGCAAACCATTATGTTACAGGAAACAAACATTTTTTGATTTGCATGATAGGAAGTTGAGACATATTTTATTGTGATTTATTTAACATTTAGGTGTAACTATTTTGAGGCCTGTGATTATGTCCTTGAAATAAAATGATTTATGTATGCTTACAGCTGTTGTGTGCTTAATGCAAGGCAGAAACTTGAGGTACAGCTGAATTTTTGAATTTTAGCCTATAGCTGTTTTCGTATATAATTGTCCTTAGGTAATTTAGACTCAAGTCTGTTAAAATCATAACCCCCCAGGGGTAGGATGGGGCAACAATGGATGAATCAGGTTTTACTTAGGAATACATAGGGAAAATCTTTTAAAATCTTGTCCAGAACCACTGGGCCAAGAAAGATGAAACTGATGTTGAAGCATGTATAGGTAGTGTAGATTCAAGTTTGTTCAAATTGTTCCCCGGGGGTAGGGCGCAGCCACAATGGACAGTTAAATTTTTATATTGTTCTACAAAGTCATGATTAGTGATATTTATATGGAAGCATTCTTAGGTAGTGAAGAATCAAGTATAGTCAAATCATGCCCACTGCGGGAAGGTTGGGCCACAATGAGGGATCCAAGTTTTACATAAGAATTCATAGGAAGATATCTTTAAAATATTCTTCTCAAGAACAGCAAAACCATGATAGGTGATTTTTATATGTTAATGTTTTAAGAACAGCAAAATAGTATGCTATACTGATATGGTCAGCGATGTGGCCCATGGGCCTCTTATTAACATTAAAATTACAAATCCAGGTATTTTTCATTATATATTGTTTGAAATGGTTTTACCTGATTTTATAATATAGATCACTGAGAATGTAAAATGAAGAAAAGAAATAGAATGTTTTAAGCTTACTGGTCAGAGATCAGAAGCGATTAAGATTTCCATTGTCCATCCGTCTGATAGCTGTCCGTCCGAAACCAATTTTTCAAAACGCTACTTCTCCTACAATTTTGGTCTGACTTCAGTTTGACTTTGTTTTGGATTTCGATGAAAGACGTTCTGGTTTTTAATATAAATAATTTCTGTGAAATACTTCCAAAACGTGACTCCTTAGTATACAGTTTCAACAGATTTCAGTTTAACTTGGTAGGCAAGTAGACTACTCTGAGAAACGGATTTTTTAAAAAAAACTTAAATGAGTGGTGTTGTCAGGGTTCTTAAAATTAGAAATTTCTATAAAATTCTTGCAAAAAGCTATCCACCCTACATTTTTAGTATGATTACAATATAGATCTTGCGCTGCATTTCATTTCGGAAACCTTCATAGCATTTCACAAGGATTGCGAATGTAAAATATGAAAGCCCTAGCCCTACCCAAAGAAAGGTCTTCTCACAAGAAATACAATTGTGAAATATGAAAGCCATAGCACCACTTGCTCAAAAGTTATGGCCAAGGTTAAAGTTTTAAAATAGTAGGTCAAAGCCCAAGGTCAAAGGGTCAAAGTTCTTGGTATCCAATAAAAAGTCTTGTCACAAGGATTGAATATGTGAAGTATGAAAGCCCTAGCCCTAACGCTTCAAAAAGTATGGCCTAGGTATGTTTTTTAGCTCTACTGGTCAGAGACCAGAAGAGCTTATGCGATAGTAATGCGTCTGGCGTCCGTCCGTCTGTCTGTCTGTCTAGCTGTCCGTCTGTCGGTCTGTCTGTAAACAATTTTTCAAAATGCTACTCCTCCTACAGTTTTGGTCTAATTTCAATATAACTTGGCACACAAGTAGACTACACTAAGATACATAACTCTGTGTATCGGTTTTTGATTTCGATGAACGGTGTTGCCGTGGTTACTAAAAATAGAAATTTCTGTGAAATTCTTTCAAAATGCTACTCCTCCTACAGTTTTAGTCTGATTTCAGTATAACTTGGCACACAAGTAGACTACACTAAGATACATAATTCTATGTATCGGTTTTTGATTTCGATGAACGGTGTTGCCGTGGTTACTAAAAATAGAAATTTCTGTGAAATTCTTTCAAAATGCTACTCCTCCTACAGTTTTGGTCTGATTTCAGTATAACTTGGCACACAAGTAGAATACACTAAGATACATAATTCTGTTTATCGGTTTTTGATTTCGATGAACGGTGTTGCCGTGGTTACTAAAAATAGAAATTTCTGTGAAATTCTTTCAAAATGCTACTCCTCCTACAGTTTTGGTCTGATTTCAGTATAACTTGGCACACAAGTAGAATACACTAAGATACATAATTCTGTGTATCGGTTTTTGATTTCGATGAACGGTGTTGCCGTGGTTACTAAAAATAGAAATTTCTGTGAAATTCTTTCAAAATGCTACTCCTCCTACAGTTTTGGTCTGATTTCAGTATAACTTGGCACACAAGTAGAATACACTAAGATACATAATTCTGTGTACCGGTTTTTGATTTCGATGAACGGTGTTGCCGTGGTTACTAAAAATAGAAATTTCTGTGAAATTCTTTCAAAATGCTACTCCTCCTACAGTTTTGGTCTGATTTCAGTATAACTTGGCACACAAGTAGAATACACTAAGATACATAATTCTGTGTACCGGTTTTTGATTTCGATGAACGGTGTTGCCGTGGTTACTAAAAATAGAAATTTCTGTGAAATTCTTTCAAAATGCTACTCCTCCTACAGTTTTGGTCTGATTTCAGTATTACTTGGTAGACAAGTAGACTACACTAAGATACATAATTCTGTGTATCGGTTTTTGATTTCGATGAACGGTGTTGCCGTGGTTACTAAAAATAGAAATTTCTGTGAAATTCTTTCAAAATGCTACTCCTCCTACAGTTTTGGTCTGATTTCAGTATAATTTGGCACACAAGTAGAATACACTCAGATACATAAATCTGTATATCGGTTTTTGATTTAGATGAACGGTGTTGCCGTGGTTACTAAAAATAGAAATATCTGTAAAATTGTTTCAAAATGCTACTCCTCCTACAGTTTTGGTCTGATTTCAATATAACTTGGCACACAAGTAGACCACACTAAGAACATAAAGAGACTTTATCAACGATCATTATTCTATATATTGCTGTTGTAAAGTTTCAAATCCCAGCTGCTTAAGTACTCTTCTCTTCCTTTGCTATAAGTTCAAACCAGTAGAGCTTCAGTCTCGACAGAGACTTCTGGTTTAAAATAGGTCAAAGTTCTTAGAATCCAATGAAAGATCTTCTCACAAGGATTACATCATGTGAAGTATGAAAGTCCTAGCCCTGACTGTCCAAAAGTTATGACCGAGGTTAAAGTATTTTTTAAAGTAACCAAAGAAAGGTATTGTCACAAGGAATACACATGTAAAATATGAAAGTCATTGCTCCACTAAATGAAAAATTACGGGCAATTTTGCGAACAAACAGACAGACACAACAAAAACTATATATATTTTCAAATCTTCGATTACGGGGGCATAAAATACCTTCTTGTTGATTATTCTTTAAAAAAAATTCCATGATATAAATACGTTATTTATTTCTGTTGATGACGTTACATTGGACCTGTTCAAATTCGAAATCACGTGACGAAAATAATCATTTTTACAGCACCGTACATGATGGTTTATGAGGAGAGTAGACTGTACTTTATTTTTCAAAATAGCAGAGAAAGATTTTTGTGTGTGTCCATGATGGAATAAATGTATACTGTTCGTGTTAAATGTGTAAATGCAATTATATGAAATATACACGTAGTTAGAAAAGACCGTGAGGCCATACTTATTCTGTTAACACCAGACAACTGCAAATGTCGTCTACAAATTTTATCAGTCACAAGTTTGAATTTTAGAATTGTCAAGCTTATGAAAGACGAGTTATCTGTGGTCTATTGAAGAATGACTAACTTAGATTGTTATCTGATTTAGACGCTTCGTTTTTGTGTTCATGTGTGGAACTGGTTTAAATACTAGTACTTACTTCCCTCCAAAGCCAAGAATCTCCAGTTTAGCGTAAATAAAATAAAAATATACCAAAACACCAGAGGGGCTTGTTTTCAGGTTACTCTATCAATCAGGTGATTTATTGCTATCTGTTTGTCCGTCGTCATTCGTCGATTGTAAATTTTTCATCATTCCTAGCTTTTTTTCTTGAAATAATGAACCTGAACCAAATTTTTAAAAAGATTGTCTTGTAGCATCAATGGATAAAGGGGTACAAAAGTTATCCATTATTTGAAATCATTGAAATTCTTTGTCCATGTCCCCTGGGTTGGGCTAAAACTATCAGAATAAGAGTTATCTTAAAAGGTGTTTTCTGAACTCCTTGGCATCATAAAGTCAAACTGTTGACATGATTGTAATAAGCATCGATCCCTCTACTCTATTGAATTTTTGAAATTCAAGGCCCCAGGGTCATGAATTATGGAGGTAGGATGGAGCTGTAATAGTCATATAGTAAAAATACATTAATTCTATGAAAATCTCGGCCTTTGGGTATTTAGGTGACGAAGTAATTGCATGTTTATGATGAGCAAGGGTGTCTCTTATAGAATTGTGAAATTTAATTTTGGCCACGGGGACAGGGAGTTCAAGGGGGCTCTATTGATTATTTAGTGAAATTGCATTTTTTTCTTTGAAAATCGCCCTCTTTCCTTCTAG